AGATAGATAAATAGTTAGAGAAAGAGAGAGAGAGAGAGAGAGAGAGAGAGAGAGAGAGAGAGAGAGAGAGAGAGAGAGAGAGAGAGAGAGAGAGAGAGAGAGAGGCAGAAAGAGAAATAGAGAGATAAAGAGAGAAAATTTGAGTACTAAAAAAGAAAATTTAGAAAGATAAAAGAAAGAGAGAAAGAGACAGAAATAAAAAACGGTGATGACAAATGAAGAAAGCAATATCAGCAAAATGAAAAAAAAAAACGAAAGAACGAGACAGATATATAAATTGATAGATAGAGAGAAAGAGAGAGAGAGAGAGAGAGTGAGAAACAAAGAGATAGATAAAAGGAGAGAGAGAGAGAGAGAGAGAGAGAGAGAGTAAAACTAATAAAGTCATGGCAGAAAGAGTAACGGAAGTACAGTTACAATAAAAAAGAAAGAAGAAGAGAACAATGAAAGAAAGAAAGAGAGAGAGTGTGTATATATATACATTTTTTTTGTTTGTAAGAGTGAATAAGGATGGGAGTAATTTTGAGTAATAAAAAAAATTTGGAAGGATAAAAGAAATAAAGAAAGAAAGGTATATATAGGTAAAGAGAGAGAGAGTGAAAGAAAGAAATGTTTAATCATATAAAATATCACACTTAATTAACATGTTGGATTTTTGATTTGTAAAAAGACGTAGAAATTGAGAGAGAAATAAAGAAAAGATAGCATCAGAAAGCGATAAATAGCAAAAAAGGAGAAATAAATGTTACATACAGAGTCAGACACCTAGAGATGTTGAAGACAAAAAATATTAGCCGATTCGTTGTAATGGAAGGATGATGTTTTATGATTGTTTGGTTTCAAATTTCACTATGTTGTAAAATTATATTATTTGTATAGGTTTTATTTAAAAAAAAGTAATGGTTGGAATTTATTGATTTAATGCACTGTGGTTGGGTATAACAATTTTTGCCGCCTCACCGACGCCAGTCGTTCGAGGGCAGTTAAAATCCCCTAAACAGTAATTTAACATTTAACTTGCCACACGATTTACGTTCTAATATATATTCGAAGTGAAAACTATGTTCATTAGAAATCACAAAAGGGAGTTCTTAACTCGAAAAGCATTCGAGTTGTTAAACGCGGCCCGCTTAACCAATTTGTCTCCTAATCCCAAACAGCCGGCTTTAATTGTACCCCGTTATAAATATAGAGTTTCAGGGGACTGAATGGCGGATTAATTGTACATAATGTAATTACAAAGACCTCTTTGTATTCGAATAGGGGTTGTCTGGGGTTACCTTGGAGACGAGATGACTGAAGAGCTAACTTTGTATGCAGAAAGTTTGTATCTACCTTTGAGGGTCGATAAAGACTGTTATATCAGAGGATTGACACGTGTCAACCCCATCAGACAGTTTCAGTCTGGAAAAGATACGTTAAAACTTAACAAATCGTTTTATGGGAAAGATTTTGATGTTTGAACCTCTTCTTTCAATCTATTCAAAATCTGTTGAAAACTTTGAATTTATCATCCGGGGGTTGATCGAGAAAGAGAGACTTCTAATTAGATTGCGTTAATAATTTAAATTAAGACTTCCAAAGCTACGTAACTTAGGGATCATTTGGGGTACAGTTCGCTAAGGGGTTTAACAAACAAGAGGGTCAACTTCTCCAACCCTCTGAAATCCAGACCGAAGCTACAACAGGCCCACAAATTTCTTTCCAACGCTGACCCACGGTAAAAAGTTTTCCTCCTGTAGAGAAAACACATAAATAATATTCAGATAAATAACAACACTTGTACAACTTGTATTTGTAACGTAGTCTTACAAGAAAAGAACAGGTTTTTTGATATACTGCACCTTTACAACAAAGTATCACATCGATAAAAATGAAAAGAACTTTATCGGTACAGCGTTAGATATTATTTTTTTATCTTTTTAGAACTTAAAACCAACACACAGTTAATAAAAATGAAAAAGCTGTAATACTTAAATTGAGAAGTTGTTAAACCTGATGACATCATAGCCTAGATCGGTGGTTGGGTGGACGAGGACATTACCGCTGAAATTGGCCAGGATCCTCAGTACTGCCCCCAGGCTACCGTGTTTAGGCACTTCTGGAGCAATAAAACGACCCCCCCCCCCATTGCTGCCCAAGAAGAATTTTGTTCTATCCAGACTTACGAAGAGACAAGTTTTGGAGGAACTTCAGGCAGGTAAGGTTCTGGCAAGAATCTTGCAACGCCATGAACCAAAAAGAATCTCAGTTAATGTCTTATATATCTGGTATACAGATGCATCCAAAACCGGGTATGGTTCAGGAGTTGTACCTATGGAAATAAATCAAAGACTAGAATTCCTATAAGCCTTGAGCAATATGCATTTTTTTCAGCACTGGCTATCGAACACTGTCAAAAAGATCAAAAGGCAGGGTTACCAACAAAAGAATAGCCATCTATTCCCGTCAATGAAACTTTTAATAACCTGACAGTTTTTTATTTATTTTTAAGAAAGCAGAAGAAAAAAATAATAATTTTCTTTGAATAAACTTGCTACTTTAGACGGATGATTGGGCTTCGATTTGAACCAGTTGTAACAGAAGGCTGTGGAAAGTTACTGACATGGCGCGCCTTTACTATTTGAGTTTTGTGAGAAACGTAGTTCTACGTTGCTTTGCTGGTCGTCGGATTTGTCACGTTAGTAACAAAAACTTACTAAAGTAACATATAATCTGCTCAAAAATGAATATGGATATTGCCAATTTTGTAGTATTTACTTTCCCTGGCATTTTTATTACAAATTGTATTAAAATTTATTAGCAATTATTATGTTTTTACTGAAGGAAAATTTAATTAAGGGATTTTGGAAAATAACAAAATAAATCATTTTAATTCCATAATTTTGTTTGTAGGACACAATAATTTGTTTAAACAATTAATACCGTGTATAATTTCCTATATTAGCTAAAATCCTCTGTGCACCTGTTCGGCATACTGTTAATAAGGTTGCCACTAATTTCATAAGGAATTTCACTCCATAGATGTTGCAAGACTGCATTCAGTTGTTGCAGGTCAACTGGCTGCGGATAGTGATCGAAAAATCTTCTCTGCAACGCATCCCACATGTGCTCAATGGGATTGATGTCTGGAAAAAATGGGAGAAAGGGCAGATGGAAAATGCCCCGCTTTTCAAAACATTGATGAACACCTGTGCCTCTATGAGGTCTGGCATTGTCATCCAGAAATGGAAAATCCCTGCCAACGAGAGCCCTGGTTTGAGGGTTGTATTCATCGTTAATTTCTTGAACATAACGGTCTGCGGTGAGGTTCCCTTCAACAATATGTAGTCCAGTTCGTCCTCCAGGGTCCCAGCCCAGACCATTACACCGCCTTCTCCAAACTGCACTGAAGGTAGCAAAACCTTGGGCATGTACACCCCTTGTTCTCGGTAGACTCTTCGGCGCCTGTTATCGCCATACAGACAAAAACGCGACCCATCAGTAAACATAACAACATTGCAATTGGTGTTCTCTTCTAAGCTGTTCTCCTAAGTTCCTGGTGGCGGTGGTGACGAAGACTATCGCCTAGGGGAGTAAGCTAAAAGGAACATCACAGTGCTCAACTATCTTAAGAGAAGTGCAGTGTGTAGGATATTTTTACTTTTTTTAAATTTAATAGTGGCCTTCTCTTTTGTCAAGTTTTTTATTTTTTTCTAAGAGCATGTTTGTACTTTCATCCATCGTTCGGGTGCATGTATGCAATGGTGGCAATCACAGTGCTACTGTCATTGCTGGAATTGGGAAGTATTCATCGCCCTTTAAAGTAAAGCCTTACCAATCTTTGTATTTTTTTAAATTCCTTATTGTTATATTCATCCTAATTAAAAACTTTTTTGAACCTATGATAGGGATAAAAGAAACGACCACAAGGCCTACTGCACCTCGGCCTGAGTAGATCTATTGTGCTTCCCTGTTATTTATAACTCACTGGCCAGCTTCAGGTTATTAACCAGCCTCCACAGCTTTGCCAGCGGTTCCTGGGTGTAGGATCTTGCTTGTGGTTTTTCTTGTCCTAGTTGCAAGAACCTGCAACTACATAGACCTTCACAGAAACATAAAATATGTTCTGCGGTCTCCTCCTCTTCCTGGCAGTATCTGCACAGTGTTTCTTCTGTCTGTAGTCCTATCCGGTGCATATGCTTTCTTAAATGGCAGTGCCCTGTCTGGAGTCCAACCAGAATCCTGGTTCGGTTGCGGTTGCCTTCCAGTAATTTTTTGTATGTTTTGCGGATGGTCTTTTTATGAATCTCTTCGCTGTGGTATTGTTCAGGTTTTGGACTCATTAAGGATTGATTTTAAGATGTATCCTCTTTTGTGCCAGGCTGCTATGCCGCAGTAGGTTCTAGGTCCAGAGAGTCCATGTCCCTTTTTGGCCAACATGACAACCTTTTCGTTGCCTCTATGCCCCTAATGTCCAGAGACCCATGCCAGGGTCAGGTCATTAGTGTCGCTGACTTCCGTCAGTTCCGGCAGTTCCAAACACTCTTTGCCTTGAGGCTAAGGCCCTGACTGCTGCCTGGCTGTCAGAGAAAATGGCTATCTTCCGGGAATGTATTTCTAGCCTTTTTATTTCACTGACACATTATTCAATCGCGATGATTTCAGACTGGAAAACTGTAACATACTTACCTAGGTTTGAACCTGTGATTGTAAATATACGAAAAATCTACTGTCGTTTTTTCTTAACGTAAGAGATTGTCACAAAAAAATGGCGTCAGTCGAATACATACAATGAAAATTGTCATATCAATAAATAATACGTTTTGTGAAAGAGCACTCCATGTTTATTATTGTTCAAAAAGACTGAACAACAAAAGATTATTATTGTTGTTGAACAAAGATGTTTGCTTGTTATTAACAAAATATGAAATCTACAATGGAAATGTTGTATCAAAGTGAATATCCGTCTTATCACATGGAAATATCATTATCGACGCATAGCAAACCGCGAACAAAAATAGAACACACGAAGGACGATGGATGGTCGAATCGGTTTTTTAGGGTTGAAAGCTATTGAATAACTGTCTCTCCAAGGTTTTCCCTTCGTTAATCAGATAAAGGCGAAGCCCCGGCTAATGGTAAAGTATTTAATCGCGACTTCCAAGTTACGAGCGTGGACTTTATTGAAAACTGGATTGCAAGAGGAGCAGTGCATAAAACGACTGGACCTGCGGGGATGCTGGATCAATAAGGTGTCCCCTCCCAACCCCCCAGACGTTCACATGTCACTCCCGATACAAACATTCCCTGTGTAAAAGTACGATCTATCAATTCTTTCTTTTTAATATTACCCATTGAAAGACAGATTTTATATTAACGCGAATGCGACGATATGTGAATAAACGTTGAAGAATGTGCAACTCTTGTGATTAAACATTTTAATCTAGGATGTAAAAGCTCACTACTCATCAGTTTCTGACAGTAAGCCAATATTAAAACAAGTAAGTTCACTAGATGAATTGTATAAATTCACAGCATTAATAAAGTAAATGTGATACAAAAATAAACTCGTGTTTAGACAAGGAATAAACATGTAAGATTTGTTAATAGTAACTGTTGCTTCAAACTATCTAAATTTAAGCTCAAATTAACACCCTATAACACAATGGCATGCATTAATTATTGCAAAAAAACATATAACATCTCATGCATTGATATTTAATTTATTTAAATATCAAAATATAATGACAGTAAAAATTATTATTAACTTTCTCTCTACATTTATAAATTCACATTTTACCAATAATGCCATTATAAAATCACTTTAATTTTTTATGTGATATAATTAATATCAGACCTGAATATTATAATTTTTTATTAAAAATCATCAAAGAAAGCACTCATGACCAGAAATATCCGTACATTTGTGATATAAAACAGTTGTTTGATTTTGTTCACTGTACAATTAATTTTTAATTTTGTATTGAGAACAAATGTACATACTTGTTAAACATGTAAATTAATAGTAATAGTTTCGAATTTCTGATAAAGAGGATAGATTCTACGAAAGATCAGCAAAGTGATGTTTTAACCGGATTTTAGATTTTCACCTACTGGTTGAGGTCTGAGTTGCGAGTTGGAGTTTTGATGTATTTGACTATTTCAATTAGTCAAAAGAAACCTAGACTTCAAAGAAAACTAGACCCCAGATACCTATCACTTCAGAAATTGTACCCAATATGTACGAAACCTTTTTAAAACCAGTGAAATATCTAAAATACCAAAATACCTCAAAAAAGTAAATGTTTCAACCAGGTTTTAAATTTTCATAGACCAATCGAGGTGTGAGTTGTAAGTTAGAGTTGTGATGTATTCGAATATTTCAAGTAGATCTAATATATCTATCGCTACAGAAATTGTACCAAATATGTAAAAAAAAACTTGTTGAAACTAGTTCAACATCTAAATTACCAAAAAAGATCGTGTTAACTGGTTTTTAGATTTTCACCAACCGGTTGAGGTGTAAGTTGCAAATTAGTGTTTGATGTATTCAAATATTTCAAGTAGATCTAAGATATCTATCGCTACAGAAATTGTACCAAATATGTAAAAAAACTTGTTGAAACTAGTTAAACATGTAAATTACCAAAAAAGATCGTGTTAACTGGTTTTTAGATTTTCACCAACCGGTTGAGGTGTGAGTTGCAAGTTAGTGTTTGATGTATTTGAATATTTCAAATAGATCTAAGATATCTATCGCTACAGATATTGTACCAAATATGTAAAAAAAACTTGTTGAAACTAGTTAAACATCTAAATTACCAAAAAAGATTGTTTTAACCAGTTTTTATTTTTACCAATTGGTTGAGGTGTGAGTTGCAAAATAGAGTTATGATGTATTTGACTATTCCAACTAGATCTCAGATACCTAACACTTCAGAAATTGTACCCAATATGTAAAAAAAAACTTTTAGAAACTAGTGAAACATCTAAAATACTTCAAAAAAGTAAATGTTTCAACTGGTTTTTAAATTTTCACCAACCGGTTGAGGTGTGTGTTACAAGTTAGTTTTCATGTATTTCAACTAATATAAATATATCCTTAAGGTCTTTTGATCTCATATCTTATGTAAAAAAGAACTTTTGGAAACTCGTAAAACATCTAACATACTAAAAAAGTTCGTTTTAACCTGTTTTTTGATTTTCACCTACTGGTTGAGGTTTGTGTGTTCCAAGTTAGATTTTTCATGTATTCGGCTAATTCAACTAGATCTCAGACACCTATTCCTTCAGAAATTGTATCAAATATGTAAACAAACAAGCTAGTGGAACATCTAAAATACCAAAAAAGTTCTAAAAAGGGTTTACTTTCGACTTGGCTTAATCAATGAGTTTTAATATAGAATTTATTGTTATGATTACAATTAAAACAATCATTATGTTAATGGGCCTTTCTTTTGTTGCTCTCTCAACCATGACTTTTCGGCAAAACGGACAACTTCATTCACTTTGGCTTTAATTATAAAATAATAATAGTTTTGTTCAAAATCCAAAAGGTTGTGAGTTTTATATATTATTTATATTTGTTTCTCTTCATTTCCTATTAAAAAACTACAGAAAATATGTTCTTAAGGTCTTTCGATAATTACATTTTTTTTAAAGGTTTGCATACTTTTACGAACGTTGAAAGTTATATAATTGTCACTCATATCAACAATATTACAATTTATATCAAAATGCTGCATAAATATATTCAAATAATGAATAAAACAAATTTGACTTTAAGCCAAAAACATGTACTTTATTTAGGCATCGCTGAATTTATCTAAACAATTTATTTCATCTTAGTCAACTGTTGATTGAAGGTATAATTATTAAAATTGATGGTGGTCAGTGAACACATTTTGAACTGGCACTGAGTCACTTATTGGGTCTGTATACACTCACTGAAGGTGGCACAATGCCAAAATGTGTTTGATTGATGTGAGTGCAGCTGGATTCAGTGTGACCCAGATAAACCAGATAAATCCAACTTTTAGCAATAATAATCAAAAATTGAACTTCTTTAGTTAAGAAAATCACTTTATTGTTATATCCAATATAATTAATACCAGTATTGAATATTATAATTTTATTTTCAAATCATGGATAAGGCAAATCTGAAAGAAAACACTCAGTTCACAGTTGAGTGAAAAGTGATAGATGATGTGATATGTGATAGATTTTTTTTTAATTGTCAATTTATTTTTACCCCTTCATTCCAGAAAATATTTATGTTGGTCTGTGGACAGATGAGCCTGTAATTTTACCCTCACCAATCATTTTTGTTTTCCTATCCTTGCTGGGTAGGTCTGTTGAGCATACCAACATATTCAGTGTTGGGTCTGGATGATTTTTATAAAGTCCTCGAGCTTCATCTTCTCTAACAGACCGACTTAACGAGGATAGACAGGCCAAATTTATAATTTACATTTTAGACAAATGTTGATGACAACATAATTATTAAACCTTTTATGTTTAGAGATCATAATTGACCGTATTAATTATTTCAATTAATTATTCTTTTTATCTAAGGTCTTGGTTGAGATGAAAAAGCTAGTGTCAAGCGCAGGATTCGAACCCATAACCTTCGGCTTGAAAAATAGCAAAAAGAGGGAAAATTCAAAGGAGGGTTGAGATCAGGAATTGGTGTCCGAGTGGAATGAAGTCACAATAGCTCAAGTGGTTAGAGCATTATTCGGCCGAAGGTCGTGGGTTCGATCTCATTCGTGACACAAGCTATTTCATCCCAACCAAGACCTTAGATAAAAAGAACAATTAATTGAAATAATTATTAAAGTTGATAATTTTTATCTGCGAGTCAGTGAACATGTGTTGAACTAGCACTTGGTCACTTACTGGGTCTGTCTACACTCCTCACTGAAGGTGGCCAGACAATCAAACACAATTGAATGAAATGAAACCTGCGAGTGTAGATAGACCCAATGCCAGATATAATTATTATTTATATTTTGACAAAATTGATGCAGCAAATGTTTTCAGGCATTGTTTATTCTTTAAAGATCCACTTGAATTTATTATAGGAGACGGTGTAAAATGAAAGGTAGCAGGTGGAGAGGTATAGTCTACTGTTTTCTATGGTATTTCAGCATACTGAGCGGCTTTCTCATACTATGCTGTCCTCTGCTGCCATTAATGTTTTTCAATCAAAAAGCATACCGGCAAGCCATGGAGTTGATATTTGCAACATGGGAACTCTACCCTGTGGTATGTATGATTCAATTATATTTTTGTTTTGCCTATTTAAAAAACATTTCAGGCGTTGATGGAAATATTGTTTGGAACGGAATTCGTTATAAATGGGGATGCTATTCTTCCTTGGGATAGATCTGTACTGGTCATGAATCACAGGACAAGGTTAGATTGGAACTTTCTCTGGGCGGCTTTACACTACGGAACAGTGATTCCAGCTCACAGGCTCAAATTTGTTTTAAAATCGCCTATAAGACATGCTCCAGGCCCAGGTAAATTGTATTTATCTTATGTTTGTATATGTAAATAAATAATAATTCTAGGCTGGGTCATGCAAATGGCTGGTTTTTTCTTCATCCACCGAAAATGGGAAACAGACCAGAAATTATTATCGAGTATGATAGAGTACCTGCAAGAATTAGAACATACCTATCAGGTTAGTTGGAATCAGATAATTTTATTTATTTTGCATTCCAATCTTTGTTTTATTTAAACATTTCAGATTTTAATATTTCCCGAAGGGACAAATCTGACGGAAAACAGCACACAACGGAGTAACGAATATGCTGATAAATACCATTTGCCACACTATAAGCAAGTGTTACATCCTAAAACGACAGGATTTACATATCTTGTGCAAAAAATGAGTTCAGGTACATAAAGCTTCAAGAAACTAACAAAGAGAAGAATTAATTAATTTTTTTCAGTTAATCAGTTGGATGCTGTTTATGATTTGAGTGTTGCATACCCAGGAACTCTACCTGAGACAGAATTTGATGTCCTTAGAGGATATTTTCCAGAGCAAGTTCACTTTAATATCAGAAGGTTTGTGATATTTTTAATTGAAAAATAATAATTCCGTGAATTATAATTTTTTACTTCTCGACGCAATTGTAATCTTCTTAAAAACTAATAGATAATATGGGTACATACTTATGGATTTTTTAACTTAATGGGAAACTATATATGTAGCAACAACAGAACATATCTTATGTAGTGACAATGAAATGATATGATACCTAGGAATACCTTTCTACTATATACATAGATACAATACCCCTGAGAAGAATACTGCACTTCATTAAAAAAAATTAAAATCTTCCAACAAATACATTAACAGAGATCAGACACAACAGAAAAATGTTTATGATATACTAAAATGGGAAATGACTTTAAATGGGAAAATGTATATCTTGGAAGAATGCTTATTAAAAAAATATCTGGCTAAGCAAGGATTTTTGAAAAACAACTGCTGTAGTTGATTTAAATATATTTTTAAATAATAAATAATTATAAATTATTACATATTTGGCTGTGTCTATCAGTATTCTTTATTACAATTATCAAGTATGGGTAGGTAAAGAGTATGAAGATATTAAGTGAGAACTTTGGTCCTTTGAGCATTTTATTTCTTATATGCTGAAACAAGATGCAGAATTTTTTTTTTCTTAAAAAGCTATGCTCGTCTTCTTTCAAATATTTGATGTCAAAATCCTTTTAGCTATTTTTGAATTGTAGCTGTTTCTATCACATTTCCAATAATGACTTCTCAAAAATCGGAAAAATTCTAGGGACTCAAAAAATGGATAATTATAAATTCAAACAAAAATTTATATTCAGGGGTATCTAAAAGTGCTAAAACAACATTTCATATTAGTTTCACGAAGAAATGTATGACCTAGTTTACTTGAAAAATATTTGGCTTTTAGATTGTTTTAGTTTTTGATAAACATTGAGAGCTTTTACAATGTTTTATTGCAATCTACGTAAAAATAAAATGCTGTAAAATGATACATATTCACACAATTGATTTGAGTAAGTAGAACAGCAAAATAAAAATATTAAAAAACAAAACATTTCAAGTTTCAAAAAAAAAAATTGATGAAACCAGGGCCAAGACAATAAATGGCGGATAAGTGTCTGATATGTTGGAGTGTATAATCATAAAATAAAGGTTGATCCAAATCCCTGTCCCACCCATTGTAATATGCCTTCCTCCAGGATGTCCCTGAATCTCTTTTTCACTTTTGTAAAACATGCCTCCTCCATCCTGGATGTCCCAGCCTTCTGCGCTTTATTACAACCACTAAAACAGGCTCTTTATAAACCTCTTTCTTTTCTGCATTCATTATTTTCTATTTTATTTTTTCTATTTCTATTTATTGTTATTATTACTTTTTTTAAAGAGGATATTTCAACTACAAGGTTATATGAATGCTCGCAGTGCCGATACTTTTGAAAAAAAAAAGCCCATTCGTAAGTATGTCAAGTTTGAATGCAGGGCTAATGGATTTTTGAGCACCGTGTCAACGCCTAAACCGTTGCCACCACCGACACCCCCTTAATACTTTTTATCACACTTTAAAATACCCAAAATAAAAGATATGCCAAAAAAAACCAGTAATATTGTTGTTATTAATCATCCTAGTCTGCTTTCCTCACTGGATCGGTCTGTCATATGCATTTCTTCAGAGTTGGGCCTGGTGATTTTTGTGGAGCCATTGGGCCAACTATTCTAGCATACAAACCTATCAAAGATATGTAAACTAGGATGACCAGAACCAACCAAATTTTGTATCATCACAGAGAAATCTTACAATTTAAAAATAATACCTATTTTTTAAAGCAGAAACCATTTGTTTAATAGTAATTTACCATTTTAAATTACAAATTAAATAGATTTGATATTTTATAACCAATCATAAACTCTTTGAAATGTAAAATAACAGAAATTGCATTTTTACTCAATTGCAAGCTGTGATTCCTCTTCTTGTATTTAAGATATATTGAATTTTATCTAGCATGATGTGGTATTCATAAAGTCCTGAGGAATAATATTAAATCAATTAAATGCCAGCTATCCCCAGCAACAACTGGAAGCACTTTGAAATAATGTTTGCCAATCCTTGCAGTACGAGGCCTTACATTTTGGTATGTAAGATTAAAATATTCTCCAATAAGTGGTTCAAATGGAAAAACATCTACCCCCAGTATATCTCACAACTGTTAGAGTTAGTGCGAGCTTGTGTACAAATCACCATGGTTCTAAAACTTCTCAACAGAAAAAATTCCAAAATCTCCAGGACAATAGTTTCCTGAAAGCTATATACTCATCAGGAGGCATTTGAGCACATTCTCAGACAAATTAATGTGTTTTCTTGCATTTTTAGCATAAGTAAGACTCCCAGTTCATGTCAAACAGAACGATGAACAAACAAGAAAAAAATCAGGAAGGATCTTTTCATCAAAACAAATTCAAAAGAGATTAGTAATTTTAAGAGTTTTAAAATAATCCTATTGTAAAACTGCGGTTTATTTGGGATTATGTCTCCACTTCTTTAAAACAGTATTTTCTAAGTGGATTAAACAAAGCAGAGTAAATAATAAAAGATGTCCTCTTTTTATTCCTCTCAGTAGATTATCTTAATGTAAATTTTAAATAAACATTTATTATTATTAATAGTAAATATAAAATGTGTAATAATACAATTATATTAATGTATTTTCCTGAAAAATATTATAGCAATTCTTTCATACATGAGAGTGTTGTGGACAAAACTTGGAGCCACCGCACTAAAATATAAATTCATCCATTTATTTATATTGGCAAACATTGAATTTTAGCGTGGCAATTTATGTTGTTTTATGTGTCTAACTTCTTATGCTTTAAGACTACTGCTCTTATTATTGCTTTAATATTTTTAATAATATATATACTTTATACTTGTTTTACCTTTATTTTCAGGTATCCAATTGACCAACTGCCTGTAGACGATGAAGAACTAAAACACTGGTTAAGCAACATTTGGAAAGACAAAGAGGACACCCTGATACAATTTTACGAGTCTGGGAAATTCGATTCCTACCGTAAAATCAATTTGTGGCCGAGGCCTTTGAGCAATTCGCTCCATCTGTCCGTATTCTTTTGGTCGGCAATTATATTCGGCACGTTTTCCGCATTCCTTCTGTCGACTTGGTTTCAAATATATACTGTCGGCGTATGTTGTTTGTTCATATTATTGTCGTTTCTGGGCGAAGGTATGTACCACATTGAAATCGCCTGGTTCAAACTGAAGCATTTTCAATATGTTAGAAACAAAACCAAATAGGCGATTTTCAAAATTCATTTCAGATGACAATCATAAACGTAACTTAAAATTGGTCATTGAAAAGTTTGGACCAAAAGTTTAATTATTTTCTGTTCAAACGGTCTCATACTGAAAAAACAAACTAGTGCCAATTAAAACTAGTAGTAGCATAGTATAGTAAAAATGTGAAATGTTAGTGAGAATTAAAGTTGTTACCTGTGATTTTTATTAGGATGATTGTGTAGTTATGGATTAATTTCAATGCTCCAACCAATAGAACAACCCAAAATAGAAGTTCTTACAAAATAAATTATAAATAGCTAAAAAACGTTTCAAATTAATTAAAATAACAGAATTAACATTGAATAAAATTCTTGGTTCTTATAAAATATTATCTTCTTTCTTTATAGGGAAAAAATTTAATTATTTTACAGTAAATTACTCTTAAACTGGACGTCTTAAAACAAATAATAAGAAAAAATGTGTTAAATTTAATATTTATTTTTAAAAAACTTAATCATAAAGCAATTGTATAATGAAAATGTTTTTAATGGTTGGGGTTGATCCATGAGTACTGAAAATCGATGTTTTACCTGTTCTCAAAGTGTTAAAATACTCGATGTGATTTCATATGTGATGAGTTAAAAAAAAATCTTATAAATAATTATTTTTTTTAGTTATGACTTAGATAAATGTGTAACGTTTGATCTTAATTCTTCCGTAGGAGGGGTTGTTAATATTAAGTATGTTTATAGTTGATATATTTAAAAAAAAATGTTTAAACATACTTTTAATTAAACTTCATAACAACGAGAGAAATAAAAGTAAGTTTCTAAAAAAATATAAGAACAAATAAAGTAAATATAAACGTTTTAAGTGTATAAAGGCAACACCAAATAAATCATTTGCCACACAATGTTTAGCATTCAGTGTTAATCGTGAATTATTGCGATTAATCCCATTAAAAATATAATAGAAATTATTCCAATCCCCGGTGTACTAAATGAATTAATCGTTAGTTGTAAGGATTGTGAGTCCAAAGTGGGTAGTTTTTGTGAACTGTTAGTGTCTTTGTTGAAATTATATAGGGTGTGAAGAATTAAAAACAAACTTACATTTACTATTTAAGTAGTATTCATTTCAACTTAAAAAGGAAAACGAAAGAAGGAAAAAAACAGTTTCTTAATATCTTTTTACAAATATTTTTGTAACCGTATTTTTCAAATTGTAAGAAGCTCATTTTTTCTGCTTGCCTTCATACAATGTGCATTTGTGAGCATTTAAGAGAACGGAAAGGGATTATTAAAATATACTTCGTAAACATATCATCGAACAAACTATATTTTTGAGAAAAAAAAAAAACAGGAAGGAATCATGTAATAGGGAAACGGGTCCATTTATAAACATTTTGTAAAAAAAATTAGAAATGCAAGGTTTAAGTGACATATTTCTAGTTGAAAACTTTTTTATAATATTAGTGATTTAACATTAAAGCTCATACTATCATGAAGATTAGAAAAAAAGCTATCTTTATAATGCTGAAAAACTGAAGAAATGAAAAAAGGGGGAGTCGGCGGCCACAACAGTTAGATCGTTGACACAGCAACTGTAAAGATCCCAAGTTCAAATCTCAAAAATTCAAACCCAGGATACTTACAAATAGGATATTTTGGGGTTGATTTGACCTATACTGTTGCAAACCCATTTAAAAAATAATAATAAAATAAAAAAGAATTATATTAACTTTATTATTATAGTATAATATCATGCTATGTCAATAAAGTTAATAACTTAAATGTGTGGTGTTTAGTGACTGTTAGTTAATGATTATTTGGAAATCGTGAAATTTGATTTAATCTAAAATTGTTAGCATTGTATAAATTCTTTTTCTCTTTTTTCACATCCTACATGTAATTGTAAAGTTTAAACAATGTTTATAAATCCCAGGACCTGAAGATGATCTCAATAAAGATCGAAACGTTGGCACGATAAAGAAAATGTTTTTCTAAAACCTATGTCACACCAGACCGCATTTCACTATTTCCAAATGATCGTTAATAACTGATTGGAATTTGATAGTACAACTGATTATACAGAGTAAATCGGTTTTTGATGCACCTAGGAAAAAAGTTGTATTCCAATTTGGCTCAACTGTGCTTTCCTTGTTTTATTAGTTTTTTTTTTTTTTTTTTTTTTTTTTTTTTTTTTTTTTTTTTTTTTTTTTTTTTTTTTTTTTTGTTAATAAGCATTTAGACAGTGCAGTGTACAGCAGCATACAGGGCCCCATTGGAGCCAAGCCCTCACAAGCCACAGCCACTCCAAGCTCACCGATAGTTTCCTCCTCAGAAAAATTGTTAACCTTAGGTCCAATCTGTATAGGTGTCAATGTTGTCGTGAGCTCAACCCCTCCTCAATAAATCTCTAATAATGTATCAAATAATTAGTCATGAGAGATTCGTTCCATCCTTTGCTTGTTTAAAAGTAGGGGTGAATCAGTTTTTGATGCACCACAGGGAAAACCAATCTGCTGGTTGTATATACGGTTGTATATGAAAATAAATTAAGTAAAAAAATCTCAAACCAATCTCCCTCCCTTTGTTGAAACTGTGTAACACTGTTGTATTTAAATTTAAATTGTGTTTGTGTAATTTAGATGGTCTTTAAATTCAGAAAATTGTTCAATTTAGGCAAGTGTTCTTCAACTCCTGTTTTAATTTCTCTGCCACTTTGTCCTATATATTTGGTATTGTAATCATTACAATTACAGTTTGCAAACCCCACTTTTAGTTGTCAACTTTATCTTTAGGTTTTGAGAGGATGTTTCTAAGTGAAAACGCACCTCTAAAAGCTACTCTGAAACTTTCTCGTTTAAGAATTTTACCTACTTTGTCTGATAGTTCCTCAATGTAAGGCAAGCAACAAATACCTAATGATTCATTTTTTTGGGGTAGGTGAGTTATTTTTGCTTCATTTAATGTTAATTTTTTTAAAAATTATTTTTACTAGCGACCTATTGATAAATATTTCTTGATACCTATTATTTTTAGCCAAGGTTTTAATTGTTTGTATTTTTTAATAATTATCAGGTGTTAATGGGAGTTATGTTCTATGAGCCAAAGGAATCCAGCAGCTTTTTGGGTCCACTGATGAAAATAATCTACTGGATCATGGTTTCTATAGTTATGAGTTTTCTACGTCTATTTATGCCAACATCATTTATGCACACTTTTCCAATAACGTGTTCATTATAATAATGACTTAATAAATCAACAATCGAGTTAATGAAGCTTTTTTTCAAAATTTTATTTTTGGTATGATTTAAAAAGATAAATCAACAAAATATTGCTTTTTTGCATATTTTAATAAACATCATTATTGTGGTACTAGTGTTACAAAACCCTTAGACTTTACTTTCATAGAAATTGGCGTAAATTAATTTTTTGACTGATAATTTTGATGACCTGACAACCTGACTGACATTCCTTGTTCAAGGTCTAATATAATTTTTCTCAAAAGCTAGTGAATTCATTTTCATAGTTGATAATTCATTTTTTTTAAATTGTCAAGTGGTTTTATAGCTGTATCCAACATTAAAATTGGAGACTATTATTTCCAATTTAAAAAAAAAACATTAATTTCTGACAAACAATTTTGATATTTTGTGTATTTTCTTATAGAAATATTTTACATATTTTAATGGTAAATACGTCCTTAAAAAGCTACATTCAACTTCTTTCAAATGGTCTGTTTGACATCAAAATCCTTTTAGGCATTTTTTGAATTATAGTAGTGTTTCAATCAGATATTCCAGTAACGACTCGTCAAAAATCGGAAAAATTTTAGGAGCCAAAAAATAGATAAATTTAAATTCAATCAAAAATTTATATTTAGGGATATTTTATCTAGAAGTGCTAAAACAAAATTTTGGATTAGTTTCACAAAAAAAAAAATTATGTCCTAGTTTAATTGAAAAATGTTTGATTTTAGAAATTTTTTGTTTATTGATCAACTTTGATAGCTTTCACTATATTTTTATTGCAAATAAGAAATGCCGTAAGAAAAACGGCGAAATCAATTCACAAATGGCGGACACCTGTTCGATATTTTGGGGTGCAGAATCACTAAAAAAAGTTTGGTCCATATCCGTTTCCCCCCAATCTGGTCTTTTTTTTAACATTACTCTTCCATCCTGGTAGGTGTCCCAGTCTTCTGTATTTTATTACAGCCACTAAATCAGGTGTTTTATAAAGCTCCATCCATTTTGCATTCATTCTTGTTCTCCATTAATTTTATATTTTAACCAGGCTAAAGATTTTTTTTGTAATTTTTCCCCAGGCATTGATACACAATTTGTCCTTTTTTTAGTTATAATAACCTGCAGTCAATCTAGAACCAATCTTCTGCAAGATTTTATTCAGGTCTCTGTTAGCTGTTACTAAATAATTAAAATTTTCTTTTGGTGAAAAGCTATATTCTATCTCTAATATATTATTCTGGGTCTGCATGTCAGGCCAAGTCATACTCCATTTTTGCTTTATTAACTTGAAAACTTAACTGTCTGTTCCCTCATACAATTCCTGAAAAGCCTTAACCAATGCATGCACTTGGATCAGTCTATTGAAAATACTTTTTTCAGGATTAACTCTGATTTTCCATACTGCCATTTCTAGCGATATATTATAAAGAATTAAGAACATGGGAGTTCAAAATTCACTCCACTTCAGTGCTGTTTATTAAATTTTATTTTGTACAATGCAATTTTGGTCACTAACTTTATTTTCATTATTTAAAAAAATTCTGTGATCAATTTTGGACTGAACTAATATTTCCCTATGAGTATCAAAATCCAAACCTCTGTTTTAACGTAAGAAATTTCCAGGTGTCAAAACTTAAACAACTAACAATTTTTCCTTATGGTAGAAAACCCCCTATATAGTAATATATTAGAGTGATTGTTGGATTTCTCTGTTTGGCCTGCAGGCTTACAAACCAGTAATTTATTCAAAATCAATATGTCAATAAAAGACTGTTGTTTTTCAATTTTTTATTTATTTTTAAAATCCTTTTACACCTTCTGAATGTTATTGTTACTGGTATTGATTTAATAAGTGCTATCTAAGTGTTATTTAAAAAGCACAGTGTGCTGTGTTGGCTAAATAAGTTTTGTGAAGTAAATAACTTGAAAATGTTTATTTTTCTCCTCACATGTTTTACCCTATTCTTTGAAAAACCAGTTCTTAAAGGTAAAATATGGAGAGATTAAAATCTGACACCCAGAAAGAAAGCTCGACGGACTTGAAATTCACTGACCACCCAATAAATGGGGTGCTGCAAGAATGTGTATTAAGTGCAATATACTTTGCTCTAAATACACGCAATTTTTTGCATGTTCAGTCCCTGTTCATATGCATTATACGGACAATTGTCATTTTCATCTGATTTATTCGGTAACTTGTAGCCAGCTATTTATCCCATTTTTGCCTGGCTTTCTTCAAATTGTTTGTGCATTTCAATATCAAAAATAAAAACTTTAGGAAAATGAAAAAGCCCTCTTAAACTACAAGCTGTTGTATAAACCACGTCTATTTGTCTGAACTTTGACCACTCTTAACTTCAAAAAATTTATAATTATATTTTTATTCTATCTTTATGACAGTATGAGCTTAAATAAATATTAATTCACTTTATATATTATATGTAAAACTTCAAATTTTGTTAGTTTCCAATTGTAGATTCCAAAATATAGTTTGTTCTTTTGTGTTCATCTTTTCCTTCCAATGTTAGTTGTCTTTCAAATAAAACTGGGTACTAATTTTTAATAAAATCTAAATAAAACATTAACGAAAAATATTTTTTAATTTGAACAACTTTAAAAAGAAAATTGTTGATAATTGTAAGTCCAAGTGCCAAGTAATCAGTTTGTAGCTACTGTATCGTTACAGATGGAGTTTTTGATATTTTCACACAAAATGTATTTAGCGGTGTAAAAATGATTTTAAAGGTTGTTATTTAGTTTTTGGGTTACTTAATAAACTTATTAACTTTATAATGTTCGAATGTAGTTGAAATAAAAGTTTTCAATGCAGATGTTTTGTGTTTCTTCCTTTACCATGAATACGCAAGGATTGCCATAAGGTTAAGGCTCTCTTGAATCATGAGTTATTTTAATTATCTTTTTTTTTCCAAGAAGTATAATCTTTTGGTTGTTTTTGATAATTTTTTGCAGTGGTTGAAGTTCATCTGATTACCCAAGTTCATGTTAAAAAAGGGGAATAATTAAAGTTAAACATTAGTCAAGTTTTGTAATAATCAATTTTTAACTATCACAACATAATTCCAAAAATCAACAAAAATATGAGCTCAGACCATATCATAGTTTAGCTAGACAAAGATGACAAATTTGTTAAGTTTACAGTTGAAATGATTTTTTTCTCTTAAAACTATAACCTATAACAAAAGAAAAAAAGAATAGCTGACTTTTATAAATATAATAAAATATGTTTATAGTATATATAAATAATTTTTAAATAATTGTAATGAAAAACAAAACAAAAAACGGGCAGTTCTTTAGACTGAAAATCAGAAAAAAGTATCATTTGTGTTAAATAAAAAAAGTGCAACAAAATACAAGTTACAATGAAATTTGTAAAAAAAAAGGGGGGAATAATAATCAAAACAATAATTTATTAAATTTGTTATTTCAATAATTTGAAGAAAAAGAAATTGGCTGATTTTATTTATATTGTTTTAATAATATTTTAATTAATGAAAAATATATGTAATGAATTAATTCTGCCCACTATTTCTTCCCATAAATAATAAAATTCAAAATTCTGGGGGAAAAATGACTAAACATTACTATAATAATTCCGTAAAAAGAAAGTAGTAGATATCGCAGTGCTATTCCAAATAAAATGTTCATTGTTAATTTACAAAATATAATTTAAGAGTATGTACTGTAGCTCCAACAGCTTTATAAGAAATCGCTTATTTAAAAATTTAATCACAAATTATATACAACACATTGTGCTAATGATCAATCACTCCCATTCTGTCGTCCCAGGAGGCTTTGCCGTCAAGTCGTATAGAACCCGGGAAATGCCTGGAATCGCTGCTAACTCTGACATCATCTTTTGAACAATCTAGAACACCCAGACAGTAAATTTATAATGCACTTGCAAAAATTATATCGGCTTATTGTATACTTACATCAACAGGCAAATGAACCCCAGGGATGGCTGGGACCCCTGTCATAAAATCTCTTGTGATGAATGGACGTAAAACGATCGATCTCTGACAGGATGGTGCCCTTAGGGCAGCATCCCTGTCAAAGTGTAACGGCAGAAGGATAACTGGCATTTGTGATATTTTGCACATGTAATCACTATTGTACAATATCTATAAAAAAAAAAATAAAAATGTAATAATAATAAATAAATAAATTAAAAAAAATACATTTGGCCAAATTTTTATGTCAAATTTTTTGTTTGAAAATAATTTTTTCTCAATTACTGATGATGGATTTTCAGAATTTATTAATAACGTGTGTGTGTGTGTGTGTGAAGTTATTTATTAATAACGTGTGTGTGTGTGTGTGTGTAAATGTGGTGTTTAGTATTCGCTAATAATTCCTGTCTATAATAATCCTGAAAGCCTACCCAAGCCCGAATGACAAGCCATTACTCTTTTCTCCCAGTCATAGAAAAATGGATTTCTACCCCCCCCCCTGAGAAATTTTAGATAAAAAAAATAAAATGAATTTATACAATGCTAGAAAATTTTAAATTCAATCAAAGTATTTGTACTAACTGAAAGTGTTTGTTTTCTGTGTAGATGTGTCATTCTTGTGTGTCGTGTTGAGAGTGCCAGTGAGATATTGTGAATGACACATCTACACAAAAAACAAACACTTTGAGTGAGTAAAAATACTTTGATTGAATCTAAAATTTTCTAGCATTGTATAAATTCATTTTTTTAAATTTTCTAGCATTGTATAAATTCATTCTTTTTTTTGTGTAATTTTTTTTAATCTGAAATTTTTTAGCATTATATAAATTCATTTGTTTTTCACATCCTACACGTATTTGTAAAATTTAAACAATGTTTATAAATCCCAGGCTCTGAAGATGATGTCAATAAAGATCCAAGCGTTGGCACGATAAAGAAAATGTTATTCTAAAACCTACGTCATGCCAGACTGCATCTCACGATCTTCGAATAATTATAGAAAACCTGTTTATATTATAAATCAATAGTTTTCATATTACCTGAGTGGCTAAGTGGTCAGCTTGTCGAATTGTAGCGAGGACAAGTGTAGTAAGGTAAGTCGGTGTAATATCAATAACCGGGTCTTTGACCAGACCGCCTGCTATATAACACACTCTATTTACGTTATGACAGACCCTAGGGATGAGTTTGGACAAAGTGATTAAATCCTGCCAGTCGGGTTCTTTCTCACAAGAAATGCCGACAACATAGCTGTAACTCCTAGTATCACCCTGAAAAGTAAAAAAAAAAGTTTATTAAGTAATTATGAAATTTGATGGTGATATCTTTACCTGGACTCCGACGCTCCTGATCGGAAGTACGGTTGCGGCTAAATGTTGTTTTCGAGATACCTCCCTCAGCTGTATTCTTTCATCATCGCTTGTCGCATTCTCGACACGGTTCAGAAGAGCATGTTTCTAAAATATACGAGAAATAATTTTTTTTTAAACAAAAACAAACATTCGAGAAGTTTAATAATTACCTTTTGGACCATTTGGTCATAATCGACAATAATTTTGACGAGAACTTGTGTCTCAGAGAAATCCCTTTCTTGATATGGTTCTTCACCACATAAGACCCTAATTGCTAGACCTGGCCCAGGGAAAGGATGTCTCATGATAATATCACCAGGAAGGCCAAGTTCTTGACCAAGAATTCTCACCTGTTTTGATTTTTTTAAATTAATTAAATATTATTATTATTATTTATTAAAATATTTACCTCATCTTTATGAAAGTCTTTTAATGGCTCGACAACCCTTCCTCGTTCCCTTAAATTTCTTATTAAATGGGAGTCGTTATGGTGAGTCTTTATTGTCTGTGCTTTACCACTGACAAGGCTTGAAGCAGATTCGATTAAATCGGGTCTCAGAGTGCCTTGCGCCAAGTAAACATCATCAATGTTCAACTTGAACTCTGCGATAATATCGTTCGCCACTTCGACGAAAATGTCGCCGATGATCTTCCTCTTCTCTTCAGGACTTGAAGTCATGCAGAGCATTTTAGTTACAGAAGATCGCGAAGTCGGATCGTTTTTATCAGCCGGCAATGTAGTAGTGCCATGTAGGAACTGTTTTGAAGCATTTACAACTGAAATGGTATTCTAATTTAGAATAATATATACAAATACAATTTATAATAATTAATTATTGCAAACCTTTCAAATCAATTCCAAGTTTGCGAAGCGATTGTTCGACTTTGGCACTTTCTCCTTTTCTCATAAAACCATTATCAATATGTACAGCCAGAACCTGCTCTTTATCAAGTGCTTTATGCAACAGTGCTGCACAGACTGTTGAATCTACACCACCGCTGACAAGAAGCTAAAAAAAAATTTAAAAAATAAAAATTAACGTTATCTATTATTGAATAAATTTTACAATATCGCTTACCAAAACTTTACTTTTTCCTACAACCTCTTGAATATATTTAATACATTCAAGTTCTCGGCTCTGAAGTGTGTAATTGCCGGCCAAACCGGACACTTCAAATAAGAAAGAATGTAGCATCGATTTTCCATTTTGAGTCAAGTCAACCTGGGATTATATTTTTTTAAACAAAATCTATTAAGCAAAAGCCACTACAAAAAACAAATGTTTGTTTTTGTATTTTTACCTCGGGATGAAACTGCAGACCGAACAGCCTCAATTTGTCATTGGCGATTCCAGCGACGATACTGCCAGATTGTGCAACAATTTTAAAACTTTCTGCAACTTTATCAATACTATCACCATGAGTCAAAAGCACATTCTGACTTTTTTCTAAACCCCTGAAGAAAAAAATAAATAAATCAAATAAACGTAATACAGAAAGAAAGTTTTTTAGTAATTTATAAAATTAGTACTCACTTGAATAAAATACATTTGGTATCAATATCAATAGTAAACTGCCCATCTTCCCTTACATCCTTCCTAACTACTTGTCCCCCAAATTCCTTGTTCATCATTTGCATGCCATAACATATTCCTAAAAGATTAAAATTCATATTAAATAAATTAAAAACAAAACAAACCTTTAAATAAAATGCATACCTAAAACGGGTATCCCTATCCTAAATATATCCGCGTCATACCTAGGAGCATCTTCTGCATAAACAGAATTTGGTCCACCAGAAATAATTATCGCTCTGTGGAAAATAAAAAATATAAATTGAAAAAGTTCAAAGAAAAGAGACTCTTTTGTATAACTCACTTGTAGCCTTTTTCTTTTAGGTTGAACGCCGGGATATCCAGCGGCAATATCTCTGTTTCTACGCATAATTCCCGAACCGTTCTGTCGATTAATTTACCATATTGGGCGCCAGCATCAAGTATTGCTACTCTATCCCAAACACCGGATCCATTCACTCTATGCTTGTCTTCCATAACCAAATTCCTAAAGTGAGAAAAACAAAAATTGCATAAAAGATTTCAATTGTGAGGTATTTTTGTGATTTGATGGACCTACTATGAAGCTACTATAAGAAAAATCACCCATCATTCTAATATGATTATTCTCGCTTGTTTTGCCTGTTTTCAGGTGAAACCAGGATGATCACATGAAACTACATACGACTATGGTTCCAATAATAAAAACACCATATTTAAAAGTACACTATATCTTGTTTTACCCCATATCAACATAGCTGATTGTTTATTCTAAAGAAAAGAAACATTGTGCAAGTATGCTGACCACTGACTATGCCTCAAAAGACCAATGCCCAATTCTTATTATTTCAAAGAATAAAACATGCTGAATCATCACGTTTTTCTACCGATTTTGCCATCTAAAAGAATCCTGCTTCTTGGTGGCGGAAAAAGAGTGACACACAATTCTTGGCTAATATAGACATATATAACTAGAAAAACAATCACACAAAAGAAAGCACAGCTAATTATATGGGATCTTTTAATATGCAGAATGAAAGGTTCTTACTCATGCTTCAGCTGTTAGTATGGTACTACCATACCTCCAGACTTGGATAAAACAGAACTCTCCCTTGGACACAATATCCATTTGGATAGGAGACTTACCTGAGACAAACATAAAGAAAGAAGTAGTTGAAGGATATGCTAGATTACTGAAACTTTACTTATTGCTAAATAGAAAGAGCAAGGTGAACACAAAATTCTGCACATTGATATTCCAGGTGATAATACATACCCCAATTAAAATTGGGATTTATATGGGAGTGAGGTATGGAGAGCTGCAGCAAACACGAAAATAAATAGAGTCCGAGCAGTGCAAAACAAAATGCTTGGAATATATGCCCCAAGGAACGTGAGAAACTCTCAATTTTACTGACAACTAAACTTCCCCGCCATCAAAGAATTTATTACAACCAAATTTAAAAAGTTCCCTGCTAACCTAGTTCGGGTAAATGGCACCTTTCGCTTCAACCTGTGATAAAAGTTGAAAGTCAAGCTCAAACCCTGTTTGCTTCAAGATATGTGAGTGAGCGCAGGTAAATCATTCTAGACCATAAGTTAAAATTGGGAAGTTGATTTATAATTGTGAAAACTTTTCCCTATGATATCTTTATTTATTATTTTATATATAACTATATAATTGGTTGAACTTATTAATTTCTTCTTCTTCTAAAATTAAAAATAATAATAATAACTGGTAGACGGCCCTCAGAGAAGCAGCACCTGTTTTTAGGCCAAAACCCATACAGGAGCCCCCTTATGCATTTTATGCTTTAGCTCCATACATTGAGAGTGTAAGCATGCCACTGGATATAAGAATGGTTTTTGAGCACAGCAGTTGGTTTCTGGCCCTTTTACATTTTTTAGAGGACTTTTACTGTATACAGTGTGTTACAGGGTTAACTGTCAATACTGTCATGGTGGATTCTCTAAATAAAACGTTCAGTGTCACCAGAACAAGGTTTCTATCTTGACTCTTTCCTGCGATATTAAAATATTTATGATTTTAGACTAAAATCAGATCAATCTGTAAAAAAATGCAAATTTAATGGTTTCATTTTCTTTATTAATTATATATACTTTATAAGAAGAATGGATCTGATTTTTGTTATCAACTAATAATTGTTTTTATTCAAAATATGACAGTATGCTGTTCTTGGGTTGCTGCTTTCCTTAGGTTTAATATCACATTTTTTAACATTGCAAAGGATATTTCACTAAGAAAAGTTCTAAAAACATAAAAGTGAGTATGTCCTTGGAATACTTATAAAATAAGGCAATTTTCGTGAAATCCCACAAAAATTTTATGGAAAAGTCATTGCATGAGCCACAATTGCGTATTTCCAAAAATACATGTGTTTTGCCGTTGGTTATTCATTGAGCATTGCTACTGTGTATTCGGAAGTGAGAATTTTTCAACAAAAATGGTCTTGTGGAAAATTTAATGTAGTTTGCGAAATAACAGTCAGACTTATATTTTAATACCAGTCATCTTTTTCTTAAAATTCACGGTTTGTAGCAATTATTATCCAAAAGGTCGAAAAATCACAAGTTATCCGTGGTTGAAATATTTTATTTATTTTGTCTATCACATGTCTGTTTAGGGCTTATGGCCCATCATCAGCACCTAATCACGGAAAACCTCATGGTACAATTGCCATCCAAAGATACACAACAAGTATTTTACAAAAATAAATATACCTGGACTAAAATGGAAAATTACTTATGTTGTGTATCTTTGGATGGCAATTGTACCATGAGGTTTTCCATGTTTAGGTTCTGATGATGGGCTGTAAGCCCGAACGTCTATGTAATAGACAAAATAAATAAAATATTTCAACCACGGGTAACTTGGGATTTTTCAACATTTTGAATAATAACCAGTAAAGTTGAGAAATTACTATTTTATACAAGATACATTTTATATTAAAAAAACCAAAAAAAAAACCTGATTTTAGACAAAAATGTTAATATCTCAGGAAAGAGTCAAGATGGAAACCTTTTATGGTTAACCATGTATCATCATGTAAAGTTATATTCTATATGTTTGTGTCAGTACGTGTTTTGTTTGAATGTGTATATTTATTAGTGTGAGTGGTGAGGAGTGTTAGCAAACTGTAGTGTCACCAACGCCCCTCCAGCACTGTGTGTGTTTAAGGTCGATGACAGAATATTTATAAAAGTACCTCATTGACCCTAATTTAGGTTAGATTATTAATAGTGTATATAGATCGATAGAGGAATATCCATTACTCCATAGCCTAATCACAATGAGTACAATGTATGAATGTATTTATTTGTGCGACTGATCTATCCAATTTAAGTAGTAAGTATTAGGCCTAACCCCATTGGTAGGGAAACGACGATCTCCTGGGCATTTGGCTTAAGGGAGATATTAGCGACCCAGCCACCTAACAGGGTGGGTTAACTCCCTGATGTATAGAACCTAAGGTCAGCACAATGACAGTCCTTCGCAGTGAAAGTACGAATAATAATTTAAGTACATTATACAATTTTTCAAAGAGCACAACGAATAATGAAATAGATCCAACTGAACATTATATTCTATGCATCGGAGAGTTGACCATGTAGTTTGTTTTGCTAATAGGAACATAAAACAACTTTATATATCTTGTTCTTTTATCAGATATATTCAATTTAATTCTTTTTAAAAGTTCCGGACAACAAAGTAGGTTATTTAACAATCTAAAACTGTAAATCGCCAACTGTTATACGCTTTTGTAGACTACATATGTTCATCAACCTAAGGTCTTTATAAGAAACAGATTTAAAAAAATATTTAAAAAATGAACTCCCCATATCCGAGGAATCTGTTTTGCACACATTCTATTCTCTGAACATGTTTTACATAATAAGGTAACCAAATTGCTGAGTTATTTCCAGAATAGTCCTTATTAAAGTTAAGTAAAGCACTCATACAATGAAATTTCCTAAATTCCACTGTATATTTCTTTAAGAAGCCAAGCAATTTTATTATAACTAACTTTTATTAATCTATTATTATAATTAATATGTAAAACAAAAGAGAGGCTAGAATCAAAAATTATACCAAGGTCCTTAATATTATTTAAAGCCAATAATTCAGTATTAGATATTTTGTACTTAAAACTAATGAGATACGATTTTATAAGATAACGCTACATTACATTTATCGATATTTAGGGACATATCATTCATATCACACCAACTGACTAGATTTGAGAGCTCTTGCTGAAACATTCAGTCCTCTAAAGATTTTACTGGTTTAAAAATTTTAAGTCGTCTGCAAAGAGCGTAATAATAATAAAAGACAAAACCAAAACAAAATACCCTGTTAGTACTAATAAGCAGAGTGGCTTGTCATCCAGAAAATCAAAGAAAGTTGAAGCGAAGCCCAACTTATAGACCTATTCTCAGAGTGAATAACAGTTTTTCATATGTTAGTTCACAACATATTTAAATGTCATTAAATGCCGACTTTATCTCTGACGAAACGTATTCTTTTCATAATACCAAAAGCAAAATTAAATCTTTACCAATTACTGTCTATAAACATTTCTGAATACTTGGGGCAAACTTAATAAAGTTAAGTATATCAATCTTGTTATCAATGGTTGTTTACAGTGCAGGGCTTCCCAAACATTTTAGCCAGCGGACCACTTTCACAGAACAAAATCCAGGGTGGACCCCCCCCCTTCTCTCGCATTCAAGTATTTAAAATTACATGTTTATAGTATATGTAGTAAATTAAAGTTTTATAACTTAACCAGTGCCAATTAGGTGGTGGATGGGGTTTCCCAAACTGTGGTCCACAGCGAACATCGAGAAAAAGTAATAATTACAAAAATAAACAAAGAATGAATAAATAATATTAAAAAACTATTAACAAAGATTACTGAAAACAAAAGTTTTTATTTTGAAGCATAGATGTAAGTATCAGACTCGAAAGTAAATTTCAAGATGGAATCTGAAGTAAAAAGGACAAAGTTTGCAGTTAATTAAACTCAATTAAGTGTAATACATATCCTTTTGGTCATAATCGGCCATATTTTTTTTTTTTGCCTTATGATCTTTGCATATTAGCCATGACGAATTCTTATATATGTTGTTCAAATTGGGGGTTATCGGGAAAAAAGTGCCAGAGGCGACGGTGGGAATCGAACCCACGACCACGGCGTGAGTCTTTCATGCTAACCACTCGGCTACCGCCATAATCGGCCATATTAATTATCATTTTTTTTATCTAAGATTTTTAGTTGAGTTAAAAAATTAGTGTAGAAAAATATGTAAAAAGAGGGAAAATTCAAAATGTTGTAGGTTGAAATGAGGAGTTGGTGTCCAAGGGGATCTAAGTCACGATATTGAGCCGAAGGTTGTGGGTTTGAATCCTGCTCGTGACACTAATTTTTCGTCTCAACAAAAAACCTTAGATAAAAATAATAATTAATTAGTACATTACGTAGGTATGATTTTTATGTATTTAATTTTATTGTGGTGGATACCAGGAACTGGAGGAGTTCCCCGGAGCACTATAGCTCTATGCAGCGTATTGTACTCATTCCCCTTGCTGTGCTGGTATTCTTCCATCGAAGAAACTCATTTTTGATGGAGCTTGGGTCCAAATTCAGGGCCACAGATCTGATTGCGCCCCAAACCTTCTTTTTATAAGTGTCATGTCAGTTTTCATTTCAGCTACTGGTCCCCTTGAGTGACAGAAAAAAAAGTCCAGAGGCAAAGATGCGAATTGAACCCACGACCCGGAGATCTACTAGGAGAGAGTCTTAACCACTCGGCTACCATGGTCCCTGTATTTACAATTAGCCAGGGGCTGTCATTCTTTCTCTACTTCTAGTAGCATGATTATTTTAATTGGCAAAGTTAGCTGAAGACAGGCCAGTCTGTCCAGCACTACATTATGTAAACAAACATTAGATTGATATACTTAACATTAATTACAAAATCCTGAACACAAAAATCAAATGGACAGAATGGAATCAATAGGTAGGTAAAATTTAAATGAGCAAAAATCAATAAAAGATTTAGGAGTCACCTTTGTCACAATTCTATCTTTTACAGATCATATAGATGCAATTGTAAATAAGGCCGTAAAACTGTTAGGATTCTTAAAAAGAAACTCCAAGGGTTACAATATAAATTGTAAAAAAAACTATACTTTTCAATTATTTGCTCTTTTCTTGAGTTCAACTCCCCAGTTTGGTCTCCATGTTATCTCATATACATATGTATAACTATTATATATTTATTTATTTTTATTGTGGTGGATACCAGGAATTGGAGGAGTTCTCCCTGAGCACTACAACTCTATACAGCTTACTTTAATTCTACCTAGCTCCATTTTCGACAGCACGCAACACGTGTGTGAATTGAGCCACTTGGTGTGCTGGCATTTTACTTCGCATTGCTTTGAGTCGTTCAGTGTCGGTTTGTCTGTCATTATTGTATAACATGATTATAGAAAGGGACTGCAATGGCCGAATGTTTAGGGTCTCCCGATTCGTATTTGCCACTGTCAAAAAAATTAATTGGTATACTACTTTTAATACGGTGTACACCACGAAGTTAACGAGTTCCCCTGAGAACTACAGCTCTACACAGCTTCCTGGCTCCATTTTCAGGAGCTCGCAACACGTGTGTGAATTGAGCCACTTGGTGCCAGTGTCCTTCCATCAAAGAAACTCATTTTTGAAGGGGGTTAGGACCAAATTCAGGGTCAGAGATCCGATTGCGCCCCAAACCTTCTATTGATAGGTGTCGTGTCAGGTTTAATTTCGGCTACTGGTCACCTTTGCTTAGAGGTGGCCGCCTCTTTTATCCCCTAAGTGTCAGAAAAAACGTCCAGAACCAACGATGCGAATCAAACCCTATCTATCTACTACCTGATAGTCATAACCACTTGGCTACCATGGTCCCTGTATTTATAATTAGCCAAAGGCTTCTTTCTCTGCTTCTAGTAGCTTTATTTTAATTGGAAAAGTTAACTTAAGACAGGCCAGTCTGACTTTTTGTTTTGACTTCACAGTTTGAGATCATACGCAAAGGTTCTGTTGTCAAACAAAGTCAGACAAGATAGGCATTTTTTTATAGCTTTTGTTTTTCGTTTGTTTTTATTTTCTTAGCTTTTCACACTGGTACGATAGAACGCTTCGGACCTCTCCTTTTTCGACATCACAAAGAATGACGGTCACGTGTCCAGGCATCTACACATCTCTCACTTTACAGGGAGGTACAAATTTCTCCTGCATTGTTAGACCTACATGAAGATAATTTTGACGGTCTCTGTCTCAATGAGTTGCGATGGCTATTTAAGCTAAGAAGAGAGGTTTTGCACTTACTCGGCTGTTTGGATCAGAGGGGAATTGGGAATCTGTTCTTTGTGTAATTTGCGCTCTATTGAAACTATATTCCACTTCTTGGCGGAGTGCTCATCTCTGGGAGAGATTCGGTTATTGCATCTCGGATGTTTCATTCTCCCCAGAGTTGACCTGTTACGGTTTTTGAGTGGCTCAAATTCCTGGCCCTTAATTTGTTACGCTAGGCATGCATGAAACTACAGATATTTATTAAGAAGTTTAATTTTTGATTTGTATTGTATAACTTGTTTTTCTATTCTCTCTTTCACATTTTAACAGTTGTTATTTCTCCTTTTTTCAATTTATTGCCTAGGGTATACCTTTTATCTTACTTTATTGTGTATTTTTTCGTTTCTGATTGTTTAACCAATGACCTCTGGCAGACGGATCTAAGATCCATGTCCTTAAATGTTTTAAATCAGAATTTTCTTTTTTCCTTTCTAGTTCAAGTTCAATAAAGCGTTATTATTATTATTATTATAAGATAGGCATTTTACTTTGCATTGCTTTGAGTCGTTCAGTCTCGGTTAGTCTGTCGTTAATGTAGAACATGATCATAGAAGGGGACCGCAATGGCGGAGTGCTTAGGGTGTCCAGACTTGTATTGGTATACTATGTATGTATGGTTTTTATGCATTTATTTAGTTTTATTGTGGTGGATACCAGCAACTCAAAGAGTCCCCCCTGAGAACTACAGCTCTATACAGCTTCCTGGATACATTTTCAGGAGATCACAACACGCGTGTGAATTGAGCTTTGGTGCGCCAGTGTCCTTCCATAGAAAAAATCATTTTTGAAGGGTTCAGGATCAATGGGGCTACCATACTGTATGATTTGACGGTATATTTAAGTGTTTTAAGATATTAACAAATGTTTCTTTAAACCACTTGACCCAGAATTAAACATGGTTTGGAAAATTTTTGTCAACATGATTTTTTTTAGTGAGTAGGAATTAAAGGTTTATTTTTAGGGTTTTTTTTAATAATGCAAAGTAGACCTTTAATTTTATAAAAGTTAAATACTCTAAAATATCTGAATAATGATTAATGCAATTACCTCAGCAGGGAATCCATAGGAAAAAGACTTACCAAAATGTGGACCACGTTATATAACCAAAATTTGTTTTTTTGTTGTTTCTCTAAACTTTTCCCAGTTTTGGACTACGGAGAGATTTTTGTTTGAAAAGCTCGGAAATTTTGTCGTTTCTGTATGTAATAGGACGTAAAAACTGAGTCGAATTTAACTTATTATTCCGAATGTAGAGTCGATAACTGAGTCGTCGAAGAAAAAAAAAACAACGGATAACCTTTTGTCCGGTTAATCACAGTTTTTGCGAGAGATTTTGAAATTTATCGCGAGGAGGGAAAACGCGATAACTTTCGACGGAATAACAAAAAAAACCCCGACTTGAGGTAAAAACTGGCAGAGATGGGAAATTTAAATTAGACGTAACAAGGAGAGTTATACCTTAAAATTTGGTATGTTCAAATTAATCTTTTTAAATATAAAAAAGACTTAAAAGATTTCTATTAAATTTTGCTAAAGTGCTTATTCTGAAATGTATTGAATGAGAAATGATTGAAAATTGTTCTCGTTCGTTGATATAGGATTTTTCCCATTTTTTGGGAATACCTCCAATCCGTCAGATTAGTTTTTTAAAAGACGTGTTAAAGTTGAGATATGCAGTATTTACCTTCGTCCTGGAAAGGTTAGATCTAGGCTGGTAGGTGGTCGGTTTTTCTGTATTTATGTCGGGCTCGTCTGTGAGACGCGATTCCACTGGGCCTCTTTCTCGCAGGCTTTTTTTATTCTCACTTCTACAAAAAAATTCCAAACAAAAACAAACTAAATCGGGGAATTGGCTAAGTCAGACGTGCCGCAGTTAATCCCTTCATTACATTTGTACTGCCATGCTGACTCAATATACAACATAAGGATTCTACGTAGGACTTAACCTCCTGACCATCTTCCAGTTGACGAAGATTTCCCTTCAATTTAGAAGAGATTTCCTACTTTTCTGCTAAAAGCACCTTCTTTAAAATCAAATTCGTAAAAAACACGTTTAAACTACGATCAACAGAGACGTTTTCGAATAACAATAAACCACAAATTCCCCATCAATGAAACTTTTAATAACTCGACAGTTTTTGACTTCTTTTTAAGAAAACAGAAGAAAAAAAATTTTCTTTGAATAAACTTGCTACTTTAGACGGATGATTTGGCTTCGATTTGAACCATTTGGAACAGAAGGCTGTGGAAAGTTACTGAGATGGCGCGCCTTTACTATTTGAGTTTTGTGAGAAACAGTTCTACGTTGCTTTGCTGGCCGCCGGATTTGTCACGTTAGTCACAAAAACTTACTAAATTAACATATAATCTGCTCAGAAATGAATAGGGGTATTTACTTGAAAATTGTTCTCGTTCGTTGATATAGGATTTTTCCCATTTTTGTAGTATTTACTTTCCCTGGCATTTTTATTACAAATTGCATTAAAATTTATTAGCAATTATTATGTTTTTACTGAAGGAAAATTTAATTAAGGGATTTTGAAAAATAACAAAATAAATCATTTTAATTCCATAATTTTGTTTGTAGGACACAATAATTTGTTTAAACAATTAATACCGTTTATAATTTCCTATATTAGCTAAAATCCTCTATGCACCTGTTAGGCATACAATTTATAAGGTTGTCACTAATTTCATAAGGAATTTCACTTCATAGATGTTGCAAGACTGCATTCAGTTGTTGCAGGTCAACTGGCTGCGGATAGTGATCGAAAAACCTTCTCTGCAATGCATCCCACATATGCTTTATGGGATTGAGGTATGGTGATAATGGGGGAAGGGGCAGATGGGAAATTCCCGGATTTACCTAAACATTGATGAACAACTCTGCCTTTATGAGGTCTAGCATTGTCATCCGGAAATCAAAAATTCCTGCCAATAAAAGCCCTGGTTTGAGGGATGCATTTCTCGGTAATTTCTTGGACATGACAGACTGTGGTAGTTGCCTTCAACAATACGCAGTCCAGATCGTCCTCCAGTCCCAGGCCAGATTATTACACCTCCTCCTCCAAACTGCACTGAAGAGAGCACAAACTGGTGTAATGTATCCATCCACTTTCTCAGTACTCTTTGGCGCCTGCTATCACTATTCAGACAGAAACGCGACTCATCAGTAAACAGAGCAGCATTTGAATTAGTAGTCCTCTTCTAGACACTCACTCCATGATATTCTCCTTGAGTTGCTGGTGGTGGGCTGTTGCTGCAGGTCATCTCAAATAAGCATACAATGTACAGCCAACTTCCCACAAACAATTACAATTTTTGTGTTCTTGCACTTCATTTAGGATCTGGTGGACGACGAACTTTTCTATGGAAAGGGTTCTGATTTGCAGCAGTGACAATATTTCTGTCCCCTCTTAGCGTCTTAATGTGTTGAGATCCACTACCAGGCCTACTATTTGTACTTCCGATCTTTCAGAAATTGGGATAAAGCCCGGGAGACCACACTCTGAGAAATTCCAACTGCCTGGGTGACATCCATTTGGCGGTGTCCTCAGTGACTTCATCTTTCTTCATCACTCTCACAATGATATTGCTTGGTTCAAGATGATGTCTTTCCATGATTAAATAGAATACATTGTTTTTTATCCAAAATGAAAATGTTTATTATTCTTAAGTAAATCCATTTTTAAAAATGAGGTTTAACATTTGTTTGTTTTTTGGTATGTATTTTCTATTTTGTTTTATCCAACTAGCAAGAATATATTAGTTAATTTAATTAAAATTAATAGAATAAGAATAAATTACAAATATCCCTATTCATTTTTGAATAGTTCACAACAATGCCTTTTCTATTTGGCAGTAGAATAGATCAGACATTTGATTTTTGTGAAAAACTTAGATTTGTTTTGCTTCATCAAAAGCAAATGATGAATCATTAGTTGGTTATTTTCCGAACGCTTTATGTCAAGGGGTAGTGAAGTTTTTGTAATACAAATCTGTTTGCAACATTTCTGCAAAATCCTTACCAAGAGAAAAACTTTTATCTCGAAATGAAATTATGTTAGATAGTATACAAATTTATATCATAAAGGAAACATACAAATCGAGTAAAAGAATTTCATAGAATAATACCATTACTTGTACAATTGCTAAAAATAAAAATAAAAAACATTTAATCTAAAATGCTGAATAAAATTCCTACCGCAACCTAGCCAAAACACTAAATGAGATAAAAAATATTTATGTCATGCTTGCAAGAAGTTCTCAAAGGTCCAGTCACCCAAATTTAAAACTGTATTTTGTTTCTTTAGTTCTTGTACACGACCTTAGTTTCATTATGGAATTATCTTTAAGGCAAATTTTCATATTAGAGAAAACTCCCGAGAAATATCTACATATATTTTATATTGTTATTTTTTTAACCTTATCAAAAGAAACACCATCAAAAGTATGTTAATGCTTCTATTATTAATTTCGTGTCAAAAATTAAAATTTTACTTACTTGTAAGTCAACCAACATCAAAATGATCGATCTCACAAAACTCACAGGGTTTTAATCATTGAACAAACGTAATTAGGTGAATTACCCCGATTGTAAATAAATTATTTGATTATATTTACCTGCCGTTATTCTTTATCAATTTTAATAAATGTTTACGACCAATTTAAAAATTACCTAATAAGTTTTGGCCTTGAACAACAACTGAATTACACTCTTCCCATTTGTATAACAGCAAATAGAAATATTTTCTAATATTTCATTGTGCACATTTGATTTTTGCCTACTGAGAGAGAGAGATAGAGAGAGTAAGAGAGAGAGAGAGAGAGTAAGAGAGAGAGAGAGAGAGAGAGAGAGAGAGTGAGAGAGAGATTTATTTTAATGGTTGAGGTGCTGATGAACTTCTTTGATTGTTTTGCACCTTGTGACTTCATCTGTGGTTTGGTCATTTCTCTGAGGCTTGCACATTTGTGTTTCAAGTCTAAAGTGTGTGAGGTCTGATACTTTTTTATTTATTTATTTTTTTTATTCTTTATAATTTGTTAACTTACACAAAAGAAGCATTAAATTAATATGTATGTATTAAATATTATGTACATATATAAAACGATATACATTTCTCTAATTTGATACCTTTTTTGAGATTGAGATTTCCAGAAGCAAAACTACTCTGGTACATTTTAATTTCTGACCAAATTCAGGATAAAAATATGTACATTTATAAGCGATCTTTTGAACTTTACCAAGTTAATTTGATATTGCATAAGATGTAGGGCATTTAGATAATTGTAGTAACCACGCACAACTATTTATTTAAACAATAGACAAAGGACATGTTCTTTCTTTTTGTAATGAACTTCACAAGTCTTCTAAGTATGTCTTCTTGAGTGGCCAGGTCAGGTTATGAACTTGATGTAGTCTCCGGGAAAACGAACTTGGCATCCTGATTTTGTACTTTTTGATAATGAAGGTTCTTCATCAACTGCTGTTTTTGTTAGTGCAGCTGGGCCAAAAGGTGGATTCTGACGATTGGTTAATAATATGCAGGTTTAAGCATATTTATCAAGATATTAATCTTCTTCTCTTTTATTTCTACCGTGAAGAAATAAGGGTGCCTTTTCAAGAAAGGATATGGTCCTTCATATGGTCTCTCCAATGAAGCTTGCACATGATCCACTCACACAAATACATAAGAGCTTATGTGTTAAGGTTTTTGGCTGATGTTTGTGCTCTGGTTGCCTTGGTTTAAGATTGTTAAATGCAAAGCATAGTTGGTTGACTAGGCTAGGAAGACCTGGGTTTGTCTTAGAAAAGGGCTGTATAACGTTTATACACATATGTACTGAAATTGGCCTTCACCTCTTACATTACCCACTTATGTGTTTTAAAAAAACTGGTCAGACCTTCTGGAAGTCCATACCACTGCCGTTAGGCTCCAGAGGCTGTCAACAGCTAGGTCATTGCAGTTCGAATGCTAGAAACACTCTCACTTAAATACAATTTTTTTTCCAGTTTATATTAACTCAAGTAGTGTGGTGGAGTACTTGATATTGCTCCATTACTATGTACACATATTAACTAATCTGATTGAGGGTAATAACTTACACATTACACATTCACTCTAATAAATACATTCACTCTCAATATATTTAAAAAAAAGAAAGGGAAATCTTTCATGTACATACTTCACTTAAAGAAAAAAAAATGTGGCCACCCTTAATATTTTAAATTATATCTTAGACAATTCCATTAATTAGTTTACAACAATATTTGGTTCATTTTAAAGGATTATAATTAAATAAAACACAGATCAAATCCCCCACTATGGATTGGATTTATATAGGCTCAAATTCATAAATGTATGTACATGCGTACATACATACACACATGTGCAGAGTTGAGCCTATTCGCTTCTTGTAGCCCCCGGCAATTCCAGCTTTTGCTAATGACGGTAAATTGCCGGAGACTCGAGAATCACACAACCCGGCAATCCAGGGGCAGACCTCAGTCTTATCCGTTCATCAAATGAAGTTGGGCTCTGGAGGGGTGCTGTCAACAGCTAGGCCAATTCATCACCCAAAATATTGCATTTGAAAATATTTCTCAGCACTACATTCAAAACCTCATAAAAATGATGCCATATCAAATGCAAGTGGTGATCAATTCAAGATGAGGAAATACACTATACCAAATTTAATATGTTCTTCGTGGTTTCCATAGCAACATTTTTGATAAAATTGATTTAGTCTGTTTAATTTTTTTATCTTATATTTTTCTTTGAAAATATCCAGTAAACAACAAAAAATAAAATGATAATAAAAGAGGGGTTGAGATAGGAAGTTGGTGTCCAAGTGGATCGAGGTCACAATAGCTCAAGTGGTAGAGCAGCGGCTATCTAGCCAAAGATCGTGGGATCGAATCCTGCTCGTGCTTTTTTATCTCAACTAAAAACCTTAATTAATTGAAAGATAATAAAAGATTTGAGATTTCTCCGAGTAGTCTGCAGAGTCACGGGAACCTGAAATTTCGTCATGCCAATCATTTTAGTCCGCCTATCCTCGGTGGGTTTTTCTGTCAGATTTGTTTCAGAATTTCGCCTTTGTCAGTGTGTCTGTGATTCTGTGAAGTCAAGCCTCTCAAAGTTCAAAATGCATGGTATCAAATCAGAAGTGAATTATTTAATAAAAATCTCCATACAGATTAAAACATTTATTTTTTAAAAATGTACAAATTTATTTTTAATGAACACAATTGATTAATATATTGCATTACGGCCATATAGACAAAATAAAATAAAATCCACTATTATTGTTTTTCAATAAAAGTTGACTTTGTCTGCCAAAGAAATATTTTCTTTGGTCAAATCGAACAATAAATTAAGCTCATATGAGAGTTGAAATTATAGTTGATAATCTCTAATGTCTTCGCACTTTTCTTCTATTTCATTCTGAAAAAAAAAAAAATGTTAAAAACGCCCAGACGATAATTCAAAAGTCATCAACGCTTACCTCATCGAGCTCCATGCATTTTATCCATTCGTTCAAATGAATGAAATGGTCATTATTTGCATCACACTTGTTCAAGAAAGGAGCAATACAATGTTCCATTGAAACCAGAGGAGCTTTAATCGGGAAGAGTTCGTGCCTTGAAACAGCTCTATAACATTTACAAAGATTTTATTGAGAAAAAACTGCTTTTTAAAAATTAAAAAATATACTTATTTAAAAAAAAATTATTACCTATCATTACTAGTATCAAGATCACACCACTTCCAGAGAGCAGCGTTCAACCACCTTTTATTTAAGTTGTTCTCTGCCTCTTTTTCCAATTCCATATAATATTTAGTGAGTTCATTTCGCTCAGCCAAATCCCTCATAATGTTGAAAAGCCAGTCACGCATTCTCCTTGGGAAATCTGCCATCTGGCCAGCTGTACATTCCTAAAATTTACAAACAGAATAATTTAAGATTTTTTTTTCTTTTGTAATTTTTATTCCAGCCTACGTACTTCCATTTCCCTGCATTCTCCAAAGTAATCGATGTGCATATGTTTGTACGACTCCTTAGTTGCAAGATCAAAATCATTGCACTGCTTCTCTTCCTTCTTACACCAGCACCTCATTCTGTACAGCTCACAGTCCGAAGCCCATGTCACATTGTGATTGGAACAGACCTGAAATATATTTTAATTAGTAGAATAATTAATTGTAAAATGAATTATCATTTCAAACAGCTTTTGAAATTAATTATATATTTGTTGTTTACCTTCCTCCGGGCTTCTTCTTCAAATGGGCACTCTTCAATGCATTTGCAGTAAGGCTCATCCAGTTGGTCCAAAGCGCAAACTTGACCAGCTCCACAATGCTTTGTCAAGCAAGGGTCAATCAACAAATTCATATTCTCTATAAAAGTAAAATATTCAGCTTAAATATTTGTAATTTCAAAATTTAAATTGAGTCCATTTGGAACTCATTTTCATAAAGGATCAATTTTTTGTTGCAAAAATTTAACATAAAGGTACATTTGAATGTAGGATTTGAAAAACGATAAAATCCTGTTTATCATTGTTATCATTTGATTTGATCCTGATCTTTGTTATTGGCTAGAAATAGTTACTTCTTGGCAAAATGTTTAAAACAAAAATAACAAGATTAGCAAAAATGAAGTTGCACAAAATTCACAAACTTATAACATTTTTTATTATATTAACCAATACAATTCTTTCATAGAGATACAGACGCCGAATCATATTTATTTGTAAAGTTACTGCTCAATAAAATCTAATTACACACCATGCAGCAAATAGAAGTGGCATATCCATAAACTTTAACGTCAATTGATAACAAATATTATTGCCAATTAACATAAATGTTTAGTGAAATGATAATATTGATTCTAATTTTATTGTTCTGATGTCATAGATTAGGTTTATTAACTATCTCTTCCTGAATGTTTTTTTTTTTTTATCTTCACCCGGTTCAAATGTAAGACCGCATTTTGAAACATTTATAAAACATTAAAAACAAAGAACAACCAGTGGTGTTTTTTTTTTTTTTTTTTTTTTTTTTTGTGCCTTATGATCTTTGCATATTAGCCATGACGAATTCTTATATATGTTGTTCAAATTGGGGGTTATCGGGAAAAAAGGGCCAGAGGCGACGGTGGGAATCGAACCCACGACCGCGGCGTGAGAGTCTCTCATGCTAACCACTCAGCTACCGCGGTCCCCCAGTGGAGTGTTGAATGGCAATTATTTAATAATAATAATAAATATTTATTTGCAAGAATGTACATTACATATAAATTTACAACAAAAAATAACATTTTTGTACAACCCTGCCTGCTGTCAAAAAGAAAAGCTTGTACTTGAAAGCAGAAGTTGATGGAGAATCTCAGAGGAAGAAACAAAAGATAACGATAAACGAACGAATAAACAAACGAATAAACAAATGAATAAACAAACAAAAAATAGAATAAACGTGTAGTATGAAAAAAAACCGAAATTAAATGTTGGCTTTAAAATATCTTAACTACAATTTAAAATTTTTTAAATTATAAATTTTTGCCTTCTTTGTAGTTGTTGAAATTTTGAAAAAAAAATGCCATATGTAATGCAAAATTATAATTTTGCCTAGTCTTTACATTGAAAAAATGTGTTAGCCGATGAATTGTCTCATGTTATATTTACTGATGTAACTAGTTACAAGATTGGTTTTATATATAAATATACGAACATGAATGTAAGAAGAAATTAAATTAAACATTCTTTCAAAATTAAGAAAGATTTGGTATAGATTCATTACTTTAAATAAATTGTATAATTTTTTCGTATTATATTTATACAGTTTATATAGAATAATTTTTAAAGTGAATTTATAGTTCCATCCAGAGTCTTAGTAGAACATTTAATATTAAACCCCCCCCCCCCGAAAACAATACCATAAGCTATTTTGAATTGAGCAAGAGAAAAATATATCGTTCTTAAGTTCAGTTTTCACAAAATTATGTAAAATTCTAAATTTATAAAAGAGCTTTCTCAGATGGGAGATTAAAGAATCAATATGTAAATTAAATCTCAAATTTGAGTCCATGTTCACATCAAGATACCTAAGGCTGTAAATGGGATAGGCAAGCAAGAACTCATCATTATCATCAGAAGTATGAAAAGCAAATTTTAATTTATTACCTTTTTTAATGAAAAGTGGAGTACATTACATTTTTTGTGTTTAAAAGTAGAAAGTTTGGTTTGAGTTTTACCAAAAATTAATTATTTTCTTAAAATTATTTATAGTTTTAGTTAAATTAATTAAATTATCACCTGAGAAATGATACACATACCATCTACATAATTAAATATTTTCCAGAGAATTTCATTTTCAAAAAACCATTAATATATAAAAAAATGGGCTTAAGACTATACCTTGTGGTTCTCCGGATTCAACTTGTAAACAAGAACTATAAACTGTTCCAACCTTTGTGACTAGAGTTCTGTCTGATAAATATGATTCAAGGAGTTTAAGGGTAATATTAGAGGTACCAATTCACTGATGATTTTTAGCATCAACTTATGGCCAACAGAGTCGAAAACCTTTTAAGTTTTATGCAAATTTTAGTGTCCAGAAACAATCCAATATTATTAATTTATTGTGAAAACAAATTAGTAACATCAAACAAAGCCTGTTCAGTTGATCTGTCCGGAAGAAAACCACACTGCTTTGGAGAAATTATTCTATTTTCAATAATGAAGTCCAATAAACTATTTTTAATTGTTTTTTCTAGAATTTTGGATAATAAAAAAGTTGAGATAGGTCTACATTTATTAATCTTTAGTCTTGAACCAGATTTAAATAATGGTATTACTAAGGATTTTTTTAAAAATCAGATGGATATAGACCAAGTGAATAAGTTAAATTAAAAATGTGCACCAAAGGTGGAATTATAAATTTAGAAATCTTTTCAGGAACAAAATTATTTAAAAAGTTATCATGAAAAGTATTATTATCTTTCAAGCAATTAAAAAGGGATTTCAAGCAATTAGACAAGTACTTTTAATCTTTGAGTAAATAATATAGTCCAGAGGTAAAATTGACATTTTTATTGTTATTATTATTGAAAATATATAAATACACAATCGATTCGGTTTCCTTATGAGAAATTGTTGTTTATTGATGAACCAGCAAAAAAAGTGTCTATGATTGCGATAAAGCACAACTCTTGAAATTATTTATGGAAGTGCAGCGAATGAATTAAAAAAGGACACAGAGCCAATTGAAATTAATTGCGTCTATCTACCATCGGTTGTAGTTTTGATTAAAAAGCATTCGACCCAATTAACAAGCGGCTTTTTTTGTTTGAAATAGCAAGTTTCGGGTGTTGCGAGTGAATAATCTGGTTAAAATTATTTTTTCGTCTTAATTTTATGACAAATTACCTTCGGTCTCGGTTTGTCTCTCATCTTCGTCAAAGTCGCTAGCAGCGGGCAACAATTTCGGCGACTTCCTTTTCTGAAATTTAAAAAAAATATTTTCAGTCCGTTGATATATGTCAAAAGTCATAGAATAAAGTACGGAGGGGGCTTTTCACGGATAGTTAAGCCGACAGGGCTTTATATCTGTCAAAACGCCAGCACGAAAAGGCTTCGGGGCTTCGTGACTAACCGGGCAGGCGTAAATTAACCAAAAATGCCAAACTATCGAATTTAAATTGAATCTAATTTGTAAGAAATTATACTTTCTGGAAAGGTGATCCTTCCTATCCTTCCTATGCGTGATATTTCTTTCTTTTTGTGCTTGTATTGGCCTATTTTATTACAAGATCTTTCAAAATGTAGAAAAACATAATTTCCAATATTTCAAATAAATTTTGACTATGACACAAAGCTTTTAAAGCAGATTTTTCTTCTTTATAAATATTTCCTATTTCATTCTATTCTTCTAAATTCTAAATTGTATTATTATTTATCTGTCTTCAGCAGTATAAAGAAAATAAAAGTAGCAAATTCTTAGGCGTTTGTTGTATTTTTAAAGGAATGCTTTGAATATATTCTATTTTTAGATTTACTACGACAGTTTCTTTCATACAATTTACAGCATCCAATAAAATAAATTGCGTAAAGATGAAACATAAAATTTTCTATTTAAACGTTCGGTCGTTTTAACGACATGGGTACAGTCAGCCGCTGGAAGACTTTCTGCCATGAAATCCACCCATTGGTCTCAATTGATGTCGAAAGACTAGTTGAAAATAAGGTGGCCTGATTAGAAGAAACAATAAATCACTTCGTAATTAGTTGGTTGATTGGTTTGTTTTGGAGGCGAATATGACCGGATGCAAAAATCCATTTAGGCATTCAGCTTTTATGTTTGTCCTTTGTTTCTTAATTTTGTCAATGATCGTCCTTAGCCTGTCTATTTTTGCTTTATATCTTGGATAGATAGGTTTTGGGGTTTTGCTATTTTCATTAGTTGTGTTTTGTTTCTTGATTGTTGTTCTGTTAGATGTACATATGTGTGATTTCGTTAATTAAAAATTACCTAGAAAAATAAAAATAGGCAAGAAATCTAAATTGATGGACGCCTGATCCATCTAGTCTGCTTTATAATTTAACCATTTTTATTAGCCCCCTGTGTAGGGATGTTTAAATGTATTAGTGTTTATGTTGTGTATGTGCACAACAATTTATTAGAATGAAGGTAATTTATTAACGTGAAAGTAATGGGCTGTTTAACCCCGCCCGAGGAGTATCGAGTACTGTGGGGTGAGTGAATGTGGCCAGACTTCTATGTTTCTATCGAGTATTGTGTTTTTGTTAATTTATTGGAATAAATGTAATTTATTAGCGTGAAAGGAAGGGGTTGCTTATAACCCCGCCCCGAGGATCTCGAGTACTCTGGGGTGAGTGTGTGACGTCTGGAGAGTAAAAGTAATTTATTAGGGAGAGTTCCACCCCGCCCCATGGAATATCGAGTATTACCGGGCAGTGAATGTGACCTGACCAGCCTTCTTTGTTTATACTGAGTGTTGTGTTATTTTTTAATATGTAATATCCTGAAGAAGAGTTATTAATGTTTGTAAACATTTAACGTTTACTCTTTTTTATTCGTTTTTTTATTTTTTGGTTGTATAGGGAGTTGTGTTTATGTTAATTTATTGGAATGAATGAAATTTATTAGCTCGAAAAGAAGGTATTGCTTAACTCCACCTCGAGGAATATCGAATTCTCTAGGGGTGGAATGTGACCAGATTTTTATGTTTGTCGTTCTACGGTTGGTGATGTATATTTATTATTATTATGATGAGTTTGTATGTTGTTTATCATGATTCGTCCTTTTTGTAGGTTCCCGTAAAAGCTTGAGATGGAATTGTTCCAAGTTAACATTGATATTGATTATTCAGTTAAGCCTTTGTAAGATGGTATGAAATCATTTGATATAAATTATACTGGTCCGCCTAGTCTCGCTTTGTATTAGGTCGTTTTTGTCTCTATGTTGTTGCATCCTTTCGTACTTTTGTAAAATTCTAGTTTATGACTATATTTATTTTTCCAAATGTATGATTGGCTTCAATGACTGTGTCGGTAAGGTTTTGTCACATGGTATGAATTCATTTTAGAAAGAAATGATGTTTGTTTATAAATTGACCTGGTCCGCTAAGTTTCGCTTTATATCTTGTACAGATTATATTAGTTTTTTGTTAAATACATTGGAGCAATACTTTGTTTTTGATTGTGTTTTATTTAAAGAAAATATTAGCATGGTTTTATGTTCGGTAGTTTAGATCTATACGCTGTTTCTTCCTTTCGTCCTTTTGCATGGTTCTTGTGAAAGACCAGTTGTCTTTTTCCGAATGTCATTCGTTCTGTTAATATTTATGCCTGTCTGTTTTTTCAGAAGGCATGACGTCCTTTTAAAAAGACATTAATTGTGAGATTGTCCTGGTCCGACTAGTCTCGCTGTATATTCGGTCGTTTGTACATTGTTTCTTGCTTCGACCTTTTGATAACTTTCTCGTGTAAGATCCAAGTGTGCGAGTCATTCTGTTAATATTTGCATCGGTATGTTTTTGTCAAGTGGTATGAAATCCTTTTAGTAAGAAATGATTAGCATATAAATTGTCCTGATCCGCCAAGTTTCGCTGTATAACTTGGACGGATTTTTTAGGGGGAACTACATCCAGCAGTTGCATCAGTGCTTTATTTCTTGTTTATATAAATTGTCATGACACTTCTAGTTTCGCTTTATACAAGACATCAATACTTCATTAGGTCTCAAATTGGACTGAAAAATCAAATCCCTTCATTGTTCAAGGTCTGATTCTTAACTGTTCTTTTTTCAGGTGACTTTAACCTTTCTCAACATTTCCCAAAAAGTCCCGCATGTCTCATAAAATGTTAATCTTTCAGGAAATTTGTTTACCAATGAAAAGAGCATGGAAAACGCTGAGATTCATAGATTTTTCATTGTCATAATCTTAAGTAAATATAAACTTTTACGAGTGGCAAATTTTTTGTTTAAAGTCTTAAGTAACAATTTTTGTTCTGTAATTACTGTAGATATAGAAAAGTTGCTCTACTAATTAGCTTTAAACTTGCTTACTTAATTACTTTGAGGTCAGTTATCTCTACTGTAAAATTAACGTTTAATTGTTAAAAATTTGATTTTTCCGTTTACAAACAGTTTAAAAAAATTAGCCTTTTAGATATTGATACTTGTATTAAAAGATACCGTATAAAAATAATACAAAATAAACAAAAGAAATAAACTAAAGACTGTTTAGTACAAAATTTACATAAGAAAAAACAAAAAGCTTCACAAAAACCATAACCAAACTTAAGGAGGGACTTTATAAAAAAATAGTGAAAGTTTGAAGTAGTATAAAACTGAAATATCTAGAATAAAGTGATAATCAGACTTTGGACAATAGGGACTTTCTAGTTAAATTTGAGATGTAACAAACTATTGGCATCTATCAACGGATACCCTGCAAAAGGCGAGACAAGGCGGACCAAGATAATTTAAATACATATCATTTCCTTCTAAAAGGATTTCACACCATCTGACAAAAATATACCGACATAAATATTGAAAGGAAATTACACATTGGGAAAATGGCCACTAGTCTTTCACCATAACCTAAAAATTGATGAAAGAAAGAAACTGAAGATAAAGCGAGACAGGCGGACCAGGACAATTTATACACACATCATTTCTTTCTAAAAGGATTTCATACCATCTGACAAAAACATACCGACATAAATTTTAACAGAACGTATCGCAAATTGTGAACATGGCATTTGATCTTTTACCATAACCTCAAAATTTACGAAAGAAAAAATTGAAGATAATGATAGACAGGCGGACCAGGACAATTTATCCACACATCATTTCTTTCTAAAAGGATTTCATGCGGTCTGACAAAAACCGCATGAAACAGCATAAATATTCCTAGAATTGATCGCCCACTTGGAAAATGTCTTCTAAGTCTTTCACCAGTACCTCTATGTTGCTTAACTTTTGTCTATGCTTTGTTTCTTAATTGTCTTTTTCACATAAGCTAATCAAAATTAATTTAGCTTTCTTAATGCTCTAGTGGAATCTGGAGAATACATCTTTTTTATACATCTGTTATCACCATGGCCTGCCTACTCTTGCTATCAACTTGACGGATTTAACTACTTTGCAATCTTCAGTACTTCGTGCTTTCCCTTTAGGAACCGTCCTTTTATGTTGATTCTGGTGAGAGGCCAGAGACTTTTAGTGTAAATGTTCAGACTGCCAAGTCAAGAAACTCATCCATCGTACAAATTAATTAGGTTGACTGTAAAATTATTGAGTTTACGCAAGAGGTCAGATTAATCGAAAACCCTGCCGATTAAAAATAAAAAAATCTGTTAATAAATGGGTCTAGTACAAAAAAAAAATAATTCCGCCTCTCCTTCGCGGCGTATCATTGATATTTGAAAATTTATACTGATTACGAACGATAAGAATTTGGCTGAGCTTTTGTTTAAAAAAATATATATCATATAATTTTTTTCTATGTGAGTTGAGACTAATTTGGAACTGTTATTCTGCCTATTTAGATATTTTTAATAGTTACGAAACTGATTGGTTGTTTTATTACCAAATCGTCAATCTTTGATGGACTGACTGCGAGCTGTTGAACCAATTGAGCTCGTTTTATTAATAGTCATTAGTAATTAATCTTTCTTTCAATAGAAGGTTATACAAGGGGAATGGAATGCAAAAATAATTTTTGCCGTCATAAAATACGGTTAAGATAAATTTATGGCCTTTTTTTAATGTTTTAGAACAAAGTTAAAGTAAGATGAAAAGAATTAAAATATAAATTTTAGGAATTTTGTAATGCAAATTTTTTTACAGATATTTTCCTCTGTAGGTTTACATTTTCTAGGGTTTTATTGACCGAAACGTGCTTAGATGCTTGAAAAGTGCTAAGCTGGATTTTGCTTATGTCAGATCTTTAAATAGCTCGGCCAACTCCTTATCGTCGCTTCACATTACATGCGGAAATATACCTTGGCGAGCGTCACGTCCGCAATGAGCATGTACCCCAGCAGCAAGAGCAGCAACCCCTTCATCTTCACGACCTGGAATGCCAAAAAAAAATGCGATAATTTTATTACTGAATTCTTCCTCGCGATTGCACACCGAGGAAGTTCCCTTTCCTGCAGATAGTCCAATAAAAAAAGAGGTCCCCTGTTATCAAACACCCACGTTTACGTTAAAAGATTTACACTTCCATTGAATTTTTTTTGTAATATATGTTGTTTTATTGTCCCTTTGATTATTATTAGAAAGAGGGAAGCAGAAAATAAAACTAAGCATGAGGAGAAAGTAATTACCTTTTAATGCCTCCCTATGATCACATTCCATTTGACTTTTAAACCAACTTTGACAAAAAAATAATTGACAATCCTTCTAACTAAAATATTTTAAAAATCAAATTTTCACGATTTCTTTGTCATTTTAAGGTTAGACAGTATGTAACATATAATGCAAAAATCAAACTACACATAAACTAATTAAAAAGAAACTAAAATAAAGTATTTATAATTAAAATAAAATAATACAATATACAGTGTAAAGTTGAAAACTTACAAGACTTGAAGAAATTGCTGAATGATTTTTGACCGTTCTGTGTGTCCGTGCCGGTCCACCCTGATGCTGAAGATGATGTGAAGGCTCTGCTTTGTTGTATGAGCTACTGAGGCCCCTCTTCTCCTTCTTCTAAATAGTTCTACTAGCAGTTCTGAAAACATAGCTAACTACTTGGGCAGACCACCCCAACCATTCTTCTTTGTCGGTTCAGTGTCCTATATTTTTTTCCACCCACAGATCGGTTTTGTAGAAAACTGTTAATTATCATCTGATAAGTTTCAAAAGGCAAGATATAGCATCGTAATATACTCTCGTATATTTTGTTTATTGCATATAGATTTAGACATTAAAATTTCAATAGGCAGCAAATCAAGATATACTTCGATATTTATTTATTTTTACCAAGTGCTTCTTAAACACATAAATTTTTTATTATGGATCAGGCCTTGAATGACAAACAAATGTTCCATGGCCTAACAAAACACTCCAATGTAACAGTCTCGTGAATTAGGTCATTTTTGCCATTTTTGTGGTCATTTTGACTACAACCCTAATCCAGGAGGCTCTATACATAGTAAAGTCTGGTCGATAAACTCTCTAATACTTCTCCAATTATTAACCACCAGAACTAAAATCTGTCCTTGTAAAATTATGTAACGAAATCGTGATATTTCAAAATATAATTTTCATTTATTAATTCGATTAGATTTCGTGGTCCGATTGACCAAATAAATTGTTTTCAATTAATTAATCTTTAAGTAAGGTATTGATTGAGATAAAAAAGTCAGTGTCACGAGCGGGATTCGAACCCACGACCATCGGGTAAATACGCCGCTGCTCTACCCGGCAATAGCAATAGAGCAGCGGCGTATTTACCGGAAGGTCGTGGGTTCGAATCCCGCTCGTGACACTGACTTTTTTATCTCAACCAATTCCTTACTTATAGATTTTAATTTATCTTACTATAAAATACCCTGAAGCACATTGAAATACTAAAATACGATATTGTTTTACAATAATGTACATAGGTGGTACTAAATTGTAAGTATATTTTCGAGTTTATTAACCTTGTGAATTATTAATAATGGTTTAGAAATTTATTGGGATTTATTCCTCTTCGAAAAGTTGACGGAGTCTGAGGTTATTTTCTTACAAATTTGGCTTTATCCCTGATTTTTAATCTAAAATGATCTCAAAACTCTTCCATAGAGATTCTGTCATGTTCCGATATATTCTGATGAATGACTTGTCCTGCGTAATGACGTAAAATCTTTTTTTTGAGATAACTTGGTTCACAAAATATAATTGTAATCAAATAGAACACAAATGGAACAGTAAAACCCCCCTCGTAGCGATACCATGAAAAGCCATTTGAAATTTGATAAAATGTATGCCTAAGCAAGGCCAAAACACTATAATAATAAATGAGTACTACAGAATGTCGCTGAAAAATTCTTCTTTTGTGATAACGTGAACCACAAAATGTAATTTTAAAATGATCAAACACAAAAGCTCTCTCATTGTGGTGCCATGAATTTCATATAAAATTTGGGAAAGTTTTGAACAAAATACTGCCAAATCTCTTTCATAGAGATTCTTACATGTTCCGATATATTCTAATGAATGAATTGTCCTGCAGAATGACGTAAAATCCTTCCTTTAAAATAACGTGCTCCATAAAATAAATCAATTATACCACAAATGGCACAGGAAAACCCTCTCGTAGCCAATCCTTGAAAATTCATCTGAAATTACAGAAAATGTATGGCTGAATAATGCCGAAACTCTATTATAATGAATGAGTACTACAGAATGTTGCTGAAAAATTCTTATTTTGTGATAACGTCGCCTACAAAATGTAATTTTAAAATGATCAAACACAAAAACTCTTTCATTGTAGTACAATGAATTTCATATAAAATTTGGGAAAGTTTTGGACAAAATATTGCCAAATCTCTTTCATAGAGTTTCTTATATGTTCCATGAATTAACCACCCAAGGCCCAGTAAAATCTCGCGTAGACATACTGTGAAATTCCTATGAATTTTGATAAATTCCATGACAAAATAATGCCAAAATTGTTCCATGGAGATTCCGCAATATTCCGATTTTTTTAAAATGAATATTGTATTGCAAAACTGCAAAATTTATTTATTTTTGATAACATTGCCCAAAAATATAATTGTAATCATCTATCCACAAAATACGATGTATCTTTTGTGATAACGTTGCTCAAAACATGTAGTTGTAAAGAGTTAACCACACATTGACCCAATAAAACTCTCTCCTAGTCAAAGAACAAAATTCCTACAGAATTTGAAAAAAATTATGACAAAATAATGTTAAAACTCTTTCATAGAGATTCTGTAATGCTCCATTGTATTCTACTGAATTAATTAATCGTACCACAAAACGACCATATCATGAAACTTCTACTAAATTTGATCAGCTGTATTACAAAATTACACGGAAAATACATAGAGATCCTTAATGTTCCTATATATTTTAATGAATGAATTAACCAAAAAATTATACAATAAAACCTTCTCATAATCATATCATGAAAATCACTTGCACTTCAATATTTTTCATAATTAATTCTTAAACAAAAACAAAAAAAATCTGTTATGACTCAGGTCATGCTTAAATGACAACAAATGTTCCATAGCCAAACAATACTTACGTAAACCTTTGAATTTCAATGAATTTATAGTACTACAGAATGTCCTTGGATTTTTTTTCTCTGTGATAACGTGGACCACAAAATTTATCGTAATAAGTTAACCATAAGATCACACAGTCATAACATGATATTCAAATATGCAATTTTAATTAATTGACAAGACATTCGTACCAAAATCTTAAAAAAGCTCCCTTAGAGATATGGTAACCACAAATTGGTCATAAAATATATAAATATAGAGATATTATGAATGTTGTTCATACAAATTCTACTAAATACACTTTAGTTAAGACTATAAGGTTTGATTAAATACACACAATATTTTCACATTTGGAGAAGAAAACATGTAAAATTTGCACATGACGAGAATGTTAGGAATTTATGGGTTTTTTTTATTGCCACGGAAATTACTGGCTACCACATAAAATAATACAAAACCAGATTGCGAAATTGTCCGTGTAAACAACCTCACAAAATCTAATAGCAGTTCAGTTCAAAATGCCAACTGTAAATTACACATCTGTTGATCTCGTTAACTGAATTATAAATGCAGACGCACTGGTTAACGCGAATTCCTGCCATAAGCGAACTTGCAAACTTGCAATAAAACGGATGATCACGCTGTAAAAGCCTGTTTATAATTGCTCGTTTCAATCCTGTACGATTTAACTACAAACAAAAATTCAAGAAGAAAATTTAAAAAAAAATATTAGGCTATTTTTGTGGCATGTAAATCGCAAAAATATTTGTTACCTATATAAAAAAAATTTCAAAGTTGACTGTCAATTTTGTACATATTTGACTCTCTGACTTCAAAAGTAGACTTTTAAACAGAAAATTGTACTTTTGTGTGTCATTTCTTGAAAATAAAGATCTATATAAATTTTACCGGGTTTTTTCCCCAGGTTTTAACTCGTTTTTGCATTTCTTCAACAAAAAACGTGTTTTTCGTTCGAAATTAAGACAATATTTTTATTAGCTGCCATAAGTTTTGGACAGATCTAATTGTGGATTTCTCAACCCGCCGTTTTATATCGTTCGGTTCATCGTCCCTGAACCCGATCTAAACATGCCTCTATCGTCGATAATAAATTACATTTTATTACTTAATACTGAATGGATTGTTTCAGTTTGTTTTACTCCGCCGAACCTTGATCTTCATTACGTCAATCCTTTTATTATAAATTATTATAAACTGTGACAACATAATAAATTTTTGAAATAAATAGACCAATTATTATCTCATTTTTAAATTGTTAAACTTTATATTAACGCACTTGTATTTTTTTAATTTTATCAATTAGCCTGTTTTGAATTAAATTTTTATTATACTTTTGAGCTGATGAAGTGAGGAACGTGCACTTATTCAGCATTTAGGCGAGATGAATTACTTTGCTAAACAAAAATCCTTGGTCATCAGCAAAGGTTGGCTCAGTTCTCAACAGAAAATATTATTCCTATACATAACAAAAAGACATGATGCAGAATGACGGAATGATGATACATACTTTCATTTTAATGAATAAACTGTAAAAGATTTGAGAGACAAGTCAAAAATTACATGTTTTTCACTTTATGTAATATTCTTGTGTACATGTCCACTATTAAATTGTTGTATGTTCACATTTTTATTACAAAATGACCCATTGGGTAATTATATACATATTTGGTAGAAAATTGACAAAATCAAAGCTAAGTGGGATTTTGTAGAGGTAAATTTTCTTCTTTTGTGATAAAATGGCTCATAAATTTAATTGTAATAAATAAACCACAAAAATGGCCCAGTTACTTTTCCATAGTTATACCATGAAATTCCTATGAAATTTGATAAATTTTATGAAAAAATCATGCCAAAACTCTTCCATAACAAATTTATGTTCTAATGAATGAATTACACTTGTCATTGAAATCAATAAACCACAAAATTATCCAAACAGAAAACTATCACATAGAGATAACATGAAATTCCTATGAAATTTGATAAATTGTATGAAAAAATCAAGACAAAACTCTTCCATAACGAATTTATATTCTAATGAATGAACTACATGAAACCAATAAACCACAAAATTATCCAAACAGAAAACTATCGCATATAGATAACATGAAATTCCTATGAAATTTTGGAAAGTTTTAGTCAAAATATTACCTAATCCCTTCTCTAGTGTCCATAATAATATGGTATATCTTACTGACTATGTTGTACTACAAAATCTTACCAAAACAGTTACAACCTACTTCTTTTGAAAAATTGTATATACAGGTTGTCAACTTACTTGTGACCCCATCGTTTTCTCAAAACTCACTCTACCCTTTATGTTTTTCAAATTGTGACCTACATTTCATTTGCGGGTTTATCAGGTCGATTAAATTTTACAAACAATGACACGCGGACCTCACTGAAAAATCTGACAAGCACTGCTATGTTGTAATAAAAAGGGTTTTCAAAAATTAATAAAATAAATATTTTCAATAATTTATTACCTGCATTTTACTTTGATAGAAGAATCATAAAATATAAAAACAATGGTCTTCTTTTTTTCAAAAATATAATTTATGTATAAACTATTACATCTGGATGACCTTTTTAATGTTTCAGGACAAATATTTATTTAAAATGTGAAATAGTTACAAACTATTCTTTTGGAAATTTTCACTTCAGTTTTTTTTCTTTATTTTGCAACATTATATTTTCAAAAAATATTTTTGTATTTTTCTGCAAATTTTTATATTCATTAATGTACATAAAAATAACTGTTTTTATTAAAAGGTTCATGATAATAAATATAATACTGGTCTTCATGTATAAATCAGTTTTTTAGTGGAAAAAATGGCGTGTATTTACTTCAATAGTTTTATTTATATGAAAAAATATATCTGTTTATATTATGTACATGGTAACTACACATTTTACCTTAGTGTTATAAAAAGACTGAATGTTTCATTCTTGCAGTAACAGTGATATTGTAGAAAATTGAAAAAGACTACATACTAAAAAAAATAAAAAATAACTAACGTTCAGGAACAACAAGTCTAAGTTACAATTATTTACAGAGTCGTTGTTTGTTCAATTACGACTTATTTCTGAATTTTAATAACAATAAGACACAGAATTGTAAATGTTATTTGCAGAGCCACTGCGAATGTGGAAATTGGTCAAGGCACAATATTAAGGCTTTTTGAGTTATGTGAGTTACCCACAATTGAAAAATCGAAATAAATCTATCGAGCTGAAAGTGTCGTCTCGGACGAGCCGATCGTCTGGCTTGTGTCGATGCTGTCCATGCCCTGGTCATTCTGCTCTCCCATCAGAGCCCGGTACTTCTTGGCTATCGCCTCCCAATCCGCGATGTTTTCAATTCTTGTCGCCGCATTGCTGAAGCTCAGTTGTGATCCTAGTGGACTCAGATGTACCACACTGAGAGCAACAGATTCTGCAAATAGAATTGAAACATTGTTTTAAAATCTTTGAATATTAAATCTATTTTATTTTTATTTTTTTACAACTGCAATCTTTGACGCAACAAGTAAAACATATAATATTTACATATAAATAATTATAACAGTAGCATGAAATTTGAACAGCTATCATCCAGTGATTGTAGCCGTTAGTACATCAATACGATGAGCGAGATGGACTCCGTCCTAGGAGACCGATGTCAAGTGTTAAGGTTGTCGCGGGGCCACTGACGTTTCAGTCTTCTGTTCGGATTATTAGGTAATGTGGTGGATGACAGGTTTTTGACGAAAGGGTTCGGATGATGGGGTAGTTTGGAATGGAAAGTTTTGTAGCGGGATTGGACTAGCTCGGTAACAAGAGGGACATTTAGGTCGGTGGATGGTGTGATTGGATACATAGTGTGAGTGTTGACTATTGTTCTGAGGATTTTGGATTGAATGAAAAAGATTCGATTGAGGTTGGAACGTAAAGTTCAAGTCCGTATGTCCAAATGGGGGCCAGGAGGGCAATGTAAAATTTTCTTTTGTTTGGTAGTGAGAGTTTTGACCGTCTGTCGAGTAGTCGTGTATGGCGGTTCCACGTCAGTCGTTTGTCCAGGTAGTGTCCGAGGTATCGTACATGGTTCGCAATTGGGATAGGAACGTTGGTAAGGTATTCTGGCGGGAGCGTTTTCTTGTTTAGGGTAAATATTATGTTTGTTGATTTGGTTTCGTTGATCTTGATTGACTTGAATCACTGACGGAGCCAGCATTCTAGGATATCTAGGTGGAGATTACGGGAAGCTGTGACAGGTACTTTATCAGGAGAAAGGATTGCGGTATCATCGGCAAAGGTGAAGGTGATAGTGTTAGGTTGCGTAGATAGGTCGGAGGTATAAATTGAATGAAGGAAAGGTGCGAGCACGCTGCCCTATGGGACACCTGCTAGAATAGGATGGATAGGAGACAATGAATTTCTGTGGGATACTTGGAAGTAACGATTGTTAAGATAGGATTTTAGGATAAGGTAATAGGTTGCTGGTAGGATGTTCTAGAGCTTCCACGGCAGCCCAGAGTGCCATACTCGGTCAAAGGCCTGGTGTATATCCAAGAAATATTATATGTATATCCAAGAATATTAAATCGAAATAGATATAAAAATAATAATAAAGAAAGTTGTGATCCTAATGGACTCAAATGTACAACACTGAGAGCAACAAATTCTGCAAATAGAATGGAAATATATATTTTTTTAAATCTTTGAATATTAAATCGAAATAGATATTTAAAAAAAAAGAAAGTTGTGATCCTAATGGACTCAAATTCCACACTGAGAGCAACAAATTTGCTCATTTGAATTCTAGTAATATACACAAACAATCTAGAAACCTAGAAAGATTTGGAAAGAAAGAAACAATAGAATGCATTAATGGAAGCAGTAAGAGACTCTAAATTGTTGCAGGGCACTGCGCACTGAATCACTATGAGGAAGATTGATATCAATGAACTCTGTGCAGATTCTGCGGAGGTAAAAGAGCTTCCAGTACACCTACTAAGCAGGGCTCGAGGAAGGTAAGAATGATTTTCTATCAATACAAAACATTAGTCCTAAGATTAGGAGTTGGTAACCGAGCGGATCTAAGTCACGATTTCTCAACTGGTTACAGCATTATAGACCAATGTATTTTTATGCAGATCTCACCTGTAGGATAATTGTGAGCTACTGCGGTTAAATAAAAAATAAATAAATAAATAAAAAATAAATTAATTTAAAAAAACAGTTTTTTAGGTCAGTATCTCCTATAGACGTAAATAATGATTTTTTGAATTTCACAAAGTGAAAAACCTGAGCTCAGACTGTTAGAAAATTTTTTTATGACGCTGTAGGAGCAAGCACCGTCCTTAGGTGTGCTCTGTTAAGAGAAAGAAGTTTTATTTTTAAATATACAAAGCGCTCTGGTGGTCCTTCAACTATCGATGATCAATTTTAAACTTTTGTCACAAATAAACAACACCCAACGAAGAGACATTTCAGAGACACTTAAGATATCTTAAAAAACTCATTTGAGGGCATCTGGATATGTTTGTCGGATATGTCCTTACATGTTGACTGAGAAGAATTTATTGGATCACACCTTCTTAAATGCAGTATAAACGATCCATTTTTAAAAAGATGAAAATTAGGTCCTCTACAACTATGTTCAGAGAAGAAAATCATAGGGTAAATGTAGTGACTCACCGTTAATAAGTTCAAAAGCCACTTCCGAATAATAACCATTTGGTGACATTATAAGGTGGTGCTTTATTATGAGCTTATTCCGCTCAACCAAACTATTAATTCTAATGTATACTGTATACTATGTATACAATTGCAGCGATTAAACTAACATTGGTTAATAGCAAGGGGAATTCTTTTCCACCATGATAACGCTTTACAAGCAGAGCAAAACTCTATTAAAGTAAAAACGTTACGTCACTTGACGACTAAGAAACTACATCGAGTTCATCGTTCAAAAACCCAAAGTAGTTTTGGTAGGACGGACAAATAAAATTGCATGGAAGGTGGTAACAAATAATTGAACAAAATGGATCATATTTTACCTGAAATTTACATAGCATTTACCATCAAAAAACGCCATGAATATATTTTACGAGCCAGTACTTACTTAACCACAATAAGGCACCATGGGCTTACGAACCATTAAAAAGCACACCAAACCAATTAAACCTTTGTACAAAAGCCAATTCAATAATTAATATGAAATTATGAATTTTCCCCTGTTAATTAATAGAAAATGTTATATGCACTCTGGAATAGATTGATTCAGATTTGGCGATTTAGTTAAATGTTAATTGATTATTGAAATTAGATATTCAGATATCGTGAGATGCGGTCGGGAGTGATGTAGGTTTCAGAAAAACATTTTCTTTATCGTGCCAACGTTTCGATCTTTTATTGAGATCATCTTCAGGGCTCAAAGTGTTTGTCTGTTGAGCCCTGAAGATGATCTCAATAAAAGATCGAAACGTTGGCACGATAAAGAAAATGTTTTTCTGAAACCTACATCACTCCCGACCGCATCTCACGATATCTGAATAACTATAGATTAACGGTCACTAATCTCTACACATTGAAATTAGAATTTAATGCTGGGGTCTGTCACCATGTTATTTATTCATTAGTCATGGACCGATTCCCGCGCAGGTGCGAATTTTAACAATTATGAAAGAAAACATGATTTATACAAACTATCGTCATTTCTAATCCTAGAGAACTGATTAAAGGCACTTGCAGCATATTGTACATTACATTCGACGACTTTTTTTGGTATTATTATTACTATTATTATATTTTGGCAGTTCTATTTTGGGGCTGCTTCCCTGTTTGAACAATGCAATAAATTAGAAAAGATTGCTCGATGTATCCTACATTAATATAAACTTGTCATTCCTTGCTTCTTTATATAGAGCGTGTAGGCATGCCATTGGATTTAAGAATGGTCCTTGAGCAGTTGAGTTTCTGGGTCCCCTTTCCGCTTTTTAGAGGATATGAATTTTTTTACTGAATATAGATTTGTTTTATGTGTTTTGTGGTTATGTCTTTTATGAGAGCGTGTATTTATTAGTGTGTGTGGTCTTATTATTACTATTACTATATTTTGGTAGTTCTCTTTTGGGGCTGCTTCCCTGTTGGAACTGTGCAATAAATTAATAAAGATTGCTCGATGTATCCTACATTAATATAAACTTGTCATTCCTTGCTTCTTGATAGAGAGCGTGTAGGTATGCCACTGGATTTAAGAATGGTTCTTGGCAGTTGAGTTTCTGGGTCCCCTGTTCCGCTTTTTAGAGAACGAATTTTTTTACTGAATATAGATTTGTTTTATGTGTTTTGTGGTTATGTTATGTATGAGTGCGTGTATTTATTAGCGTGTGTGGTAAGAGGCTGATGGTGAAAAATAGCGACTCCATCACCCCTTCATCAGTGTGTGTCTATGTATGTTCGATGGAAGAAAATTTATAAAAGTACTCCATCGACCTTCATTTTACAATAGCTTATTATTATTTTGTGCAGGTCGATGGAGGAATATCGTCTACTCCACCAATCAACCATAATGAGTGCGATGTACATAGGTGTGAAGTATTTATTAGTGCGATTGTATTGTATATGTTAGTTTTTGGTTAGATCATATTTTCCAAACGTTGTGGGATGAAATAACGTAGCTGTCAAAAGCCCGTGGAGCCTACCCCGTTTGGTAGGCCAGCCGCAAGGGGGTAGGCAAACTCCCAGGAGGCATCGACCCACCCCCCAGGGTAAGCACATCGGGGACAGCAAACAGGGTGAACGTGCTATTATTCATTTTAATATATACATATGAAGCTAAAATTATAGTTATATTGGATTATTCATGCAATTTTTGTTATTAATGATTTACCTTTTGGTGCGACTTGCCCCTTTTTGACTTTCGCCAACCATTTGGCACCCATTTTGGTTCTTGCACTTACGCGCGATCTCGACTGAAGGCCCATCATCTGAACCAAGCTGGGCCTCTTCCTTTGGGCCACTGCAAATTGAAAAACCGAATCGTCGTGAAAGAAAAAACCCAGAAGGATCCCTTTCGGAGAATGGGAAAAGTGAATAAAACTTACTCTTCGTTTTACAAAGATGAAGGAGGTACATGAGCCACGTAGTGACCAAGTTGAGCGGCGAAGGTGTCGTCGTCGTGCGGTGCATATTCCTTATAAGCTTGGCCAAGCCGTATTTCCACTCGATGTCGGATTGGGCCTGTCGAACGGAAAAAAAATTGGAACTGATTAATCGGATTAAGGATTTGCTGGACTTAGGGAAATCTAAAGGCGGATCTCGAGTACTTTCTGGGATCGATTTGCCCGCACTGCGCTGAAGGGCGTGTGGAGGGAGAAAGAAACCAAGCAACCATTTTCCTTACTTCGTGATTTTTACAAATTCAAAACTTAAAATTTGAGCTTGAAATAATTAAAACTAAAACTTATCTACAAAATCTATCCAAAATACTTCTGGGATATTTAGTGCATGAAATCTTACCTGGATTCGTTGGTAAGTGTCACTCATCATAGCAATGAGCAGATTGATGAGTACGACGACCGAGACGAGCATATAAATGCCGAAGACGAATTTGAAAAGGTACAACGTCCATTCAGGCTGGTTTGATTTTTTCACCCTTAGGGTCTCCGGTGTAGTTTGGCCGAAAACAGCGAAGAAGAGGAGCTCCAGTGCGTCCACCGGATTCATTTGCACTGAAACGTTTACGTCAATTTTATAATCTGCGTACTTTCCATCTCATTTATTTTCTTCTCTTTGTCAACAAAACCACGTCGAATGTGTTTATGTACAGGGTGCCGTTTATAATAAACCATATACATTTAATCCAATCCGTCCAAGAGCGAATCTAGCCCTATGATTAATACCTTCTACAAAGCGATTTACTGTGATACTTTTCGTGCAATTGATTTCTCTGTGTAGATATGCGTTAAGATGTAAATATGTTATGTATAAGGTAAGATGATAAGTATGTCAAAAATCCAAACAAACAAAATTCCTTGTTAAATAGCATTTTTACATATTATTAAAACTATACTCCTTTTAAAGTGTTGGTTACAGATAAAACAAAATGTTCATATTTTCCCACATAAAAATTAAATAGATGTAAAATGTGTGAATTTGATTTGGTATTTTTATTTAAAAAAAAAGACTACGACAAATATTTGAATTCAAGCATTTATATCGTCTTCTTTCTCAAAATACGTAAAAAATTAAATTACATCAATTTAAAAAAAAGTTTATATTCAAAATTCGTTTTTATAGGTGATGTGCTATGTTAAATCGGAGTATAAACGGCCTACAACGAATATCAAGTCGGTATGATTAAAAATTAAAGAAAACAAACAAAAACCATAAGCAACTTTCATTTTACGAATTCATACAAAAATACACACTTAAAAACCGTGAGTTTCTCCAAAAAAATACACACTGTGAGCCCAGGCGATTTTATGCAACAACAATAGTATGGTTCTGCAGCCACGCACTTACCTTGCAACATTACAACAAAGATTAGTGTTTTTACGAATGGTTTTATATTTGACATTTATCGTGAATAGGCAAACATTACATAAGTGAATTATGACTGCAAAACCGTAATTTTATTGACTTACAGCCGGGAGTATCTGGGCGGATGCAGCCGGGGATTTTGGCGTACCGGCTACAGAAAACGATGGGTTCCTGCGTCGAGTTCGGTTCCAGGATTATTGTCCCATCTAAACGTCCCAGTTACAGTTATTATTAAGTCTAATACTAGTATTTGATAAAAGGGCATGATCACTTTCTGAAATATTAACGTAATTTTCTAACTCCTCACTCAGTTTTCACATGACATGCGACCATTCTTTCTTATCTTTGTTAAGTCTTGTTGTCTTAATTAAAAAATATAGATCGTAAAAAAAAGAATTCGTCAGATTTCCTCCTGTCTGCGGGCTGATAAACCTATAGTTTGATAGTCACCTATCATCTTGGTCTGCCTCTCTTCGCTGATTTTTGTCAGTCAGACGTGTTTCGGCGTTTTGCCATCTTTAGTGTTGACTGGTTATTTTGGCTTCGCAGAAATCACCCAAACTCAACACTGAAGACGGCGAAATGCGGACTGACTGACAAAAAGTGTGGATAGGCAGACAAGATGATAGACAACTATCAAACTAAAAGAGAATTTTTTAATATACGGAAACATCCAGGTATAATTTTATTAGTTTTCGAGGTCCGCTTGACCAAATAAATTCTTTTCAATTAATTAAGGTTCGAATCCCTCTTGTGACACTGACGTTTTTATCTCAACCAATAACTTAATTAATCCAGGTAAGTTAAAATGATAGAATTTGATAATAGAATATACGTTTTACTTCGGTCTTACATTCGTTGGTTTCGCTATTTATAAAAAGCTTATTTTTCAAAGTTTTCAAGTTTTTTTAAAATATTAACATATACTACACTTTCCGTCAAATTTCTCTCTTTCCTCATCAAATTAAGCCTTTGTAATTTCAAATTAACCGAATTTTAACTTCAAATTAACACTTTTTTATTTTAAAGCACTTTTTAAATGCAAATACCCAACACCAATTAACCCTTTCTTTAAAATATCAAAAACCTAGGAGGGCGGAATGAAATGTAAATATATAAATTAAATTCATACTTTAAAAAAATTAAATATAAAATAATTTAATTCTTCGAGAACAATAAAAAAAGCATTTTTAATTAAAATTAAACATTATATAAAGTTAAATGTACAAAACAAATTATTTATTTTTTTATTGTATTTTAAATGATAAAATAAATGGATTCATAAAAGCCACAATAAACTAAAATAATACGGACTCGCATTATTTCCCTGTTAAGTCTGGCGTTAGACAAGGAGGCGTCTTCAGCCTCTTGTTGTTCTCCCTCTCTAAAAACGAACCTTACTTTGATATTCGCTGGTCTAATTTCCTAATTAAATTTAATTCGAAATTTAGCCTATCCCAAGTCGATCGATGGTGTGCTACCACTTCTCAAGGTTTGAGAATATTTTTAAAGTTTTTTTCTTAGAAAATTTTTTCACCTTCCGAGTTTTACTACGAACTGTTCTACTTGCAAAGACCCTCACTTCTTGTATCCCCTAGAATACAATACTTTCTTAGGCTAGAATACTTCTCCTATTTAGGCTGGACAATCCCTTAAGGACAGACTACCTAAAATTACTGCGATCGAACTGATTAATGCCAATTTCTCCTTTTTCTAAATGCTTAACCTGTCCATGATTTTAATCTGGCCATTGCTTTTACCATTAGTAACCATGAATAATGCTTATCAATATTCCCGGTTTTTGGAACATTCATTTCAGAAATGGCGACGGTTCTTCCGAATTAAATTTCCGTATAAAAACCTCTTTTTAATATTATATTGCATTTTATTTTTGTAAATAAAGGTCTTTTTCATTCATTCATTCAAAATCACAATTATTCAACATATTTCTAAAATCAAAAGAAGAATACTTTACTTCTATATTTTATTTCATATAATTTTGATTTTAATTGGCATTAATTTTAATATGGTTTTTATTTAGTTATATTTGAAAAGCCATTTCATATAGAAAGAAGAATCTTTGATTTAGAAACTGTTTTACCATTATATAAAATAAGAATCTTTTGTTTTAATATTTAATTGTAATTGCAATTAATTTTCATATAATCTTCTACGAGCCCAATATTATATTATATTTAAAAAAACTCAAATACCCAATAACCTTACTTTATAAGCTTATAGCTTTTTTTTCTATAAAATGAACTGTTTTCCCTTTCAACTTAACTCTTTTTAATTTAAAATTAACCATTTTTAATAATCAAATTTATTAACCCTTTTTAGCACTAAATTAACCCTTTACCTTAATTGTAAATTAACCTTTTTTGTCTTCAATTTAACAATTTTGAAAGTCCTTCCGGCCTATATCTCTAACTAGTGTTTTTTCAAAAGTATATGAAAGGGTGTTACTGCGGAGATTACAAATATATCTTGAGGAAAACCAGTTGATATCAAGCAGGCAAACAGTCTTCAGGAAACAAGCTGTGTATCAAGTAGCTATACTATATCAAGAAATTAAAAACGGTCTGCAGAGAAAACAAAGCACTCCAGCGGTCTTCATAGACTTCATGATTGCCTTCGATAGGGTATGGAGGAAAAAACTAGAAAAACCATCCTGAGAATGGAGAAAAAACTACTAAATAAAATTTTAGCTTTCGGCTTGAAAGGAAATACGTTTAAGGCTACACCTTCCTTCCTCTCACAAAGATTTATTAGGGTAAAGTACGTAGATCATCTCGTCCTACAATCAGACACGGCTGAGGCTACCTCAAGGATCCGAACTCAGTGCTGTTCTATTTAAACTGATGATAGATCATATTATAGCCTCAATTCAAAGAGTCCCTGTTATAAAGACCTTGCTTTATGCGGATGACTTAGTCATCTGGACCACGAGTGGTGAGATAAGTGCTCTAGAACCAGCTCTTAATGGAGCACTAGAAAAACATTTATCGTGGTCGAACAAAAATGAGTTTGTTGTCAACCCCGATAAGTCGGAATTTTAACGTTTACCTCTTTCTACCAAGAGACGCGGCCCATTCACTCTACATTATGATTCCAAGCCATTACGAGAAACAAACAGCACTAAGTACCTAGTTGGGATACATCTCGCTCAAAGGTTCAATGGACAAAGTATGTTGAGCAATTAGTAAAGAAGCAGACGCAAGAACCTCTTGCGATTAGAAAAGGTTTGTTTAGATGAGAGAGTGTAGCCCCTAACAATGGACATCTGGAACGACCATAAGCCTAAAAATCAACGTCTGAAAACTCAAAAATCTTTCTGAGTTAAAGCAGAAGAACCGACTGGAGCATATGACACAGGCTTTTCTAATTCCAACGGCAAATGATTTGGCTGTGCGTTATAGCCCGATAGTAGTGTTCCATTTGGTAACCCCGTAGACAAAAAAAAGAAACCCCACCCACCATACTCAAAGCAATTTCGCTCGAAATTATTTATCAAAGGTTAATGAAAGACGGAATGGATCCATGTATATACTTAGGCTCAGCTCACTGAGCACGAAGCAACGACGGCGCAGGATTTTATGCGGAGAGCTTTCAAATATCTGAACCAGTTGATCAAATGGCATTAAATTTTGACGGAGAAGTGAAAGCTCTCTTGGCAGTACAGGGACTAAAGAAAGAGCCCCGTTGCCATGTAGTTTTACTTATAGATTCCCGGGCAGCCAATTGTTTCGCCTAGTGTCAGGCTTATAAGAGAGGAAATATCTGCGCACATAGCAACCGGTAGAATGTTTGCCTTCAATGGATTCCAAGCCACTGTGGAATCATGAGAAATGGAGAAACAGATAAACTAGCAAAATTAGGAGCGGAAAATTAGCAACCAAACGTTCCTCTAGAATACAGAACAACAAAAAGATTTTTAAACAAATTAATAAAGGATAAAGTTAGAGAAAAGCATGTAGCATGTTCAAAAGGGAAACAGTAGTCAATTCTTCTTGATAACCCTCTCCCTCAAGACCTTCCTCGTATGGTGTCTGTCGGTTGTTTTAGACTGATATTACTAGTATTATTTGTTGGAACGTATATGTATATTTGTAATGTATTTTTTTAAAGTCTGGTATGTGAAGTGAATGAATTCCTTAGCGTGAATGGAGGGCTTATCCTCAACTATTCCAAGGAATATCAAGTATTCGGAGTAATGTGAACGAACTTTGGTGTATGAATGTAATTTATTATCACGAATGGAGGGGCATGTTTCCCAAGGATTATCGAGTACTAGAGGTAGCGTAAATGTAGTTTATTAGCGTGACTGTAGGGGCTTATCCTCAATTACTCCAAGGAATCTTGAGTAGTCAGGGTAGTGTGATCGAAGTCTGGTGTTTGAATGTAATTTATTATCACGAATGGATGGGCAGGTTCCCCAAGGATTAACAAGTAACCGAGATAGTGTGAATTTAGTTCATTAGCGTGACTGTAGGGGCTTATCCTCAATTACTGCAAGGAATCTTGAGCACTCGTTGCAGTGCGAACGAAGTCTGGTATTATCACGAATGGAGGGGCATTCCCAATTACCACAAGGAATATTTCCTACTCTGGTATAATGTGAATGCTAACCAGACTATCACCTTTTATTTTGCATGTATTTTATGTGTATTTATGCTGCAAAGAAAAAAATATGTTAAAAAAATTTCCAGTTAAAAGAATCATTAGTTTTTATATTTAATTTTAAACTGTAATTGTAATTAATTTTCATATGGTATTTAAAAACCAAATTATTTTATACTAAAAAAATTCTCAAACATACAGGAATTTTTCTTTACATACTTATATTTCATGGCAACTCTTAAGTTTTTTTTAACACTTTAAAGAAAAAGTTAATTTAATATAAAAAACATAATTTGAAATTAAAAAGGTTTAATTTACAATTAAATAGCGTTCACTTGAAAATTTAATTTGAAGTTAAAAAGGGTTGGTTTGAAATGTAAACGGGTTAATTTGGTGCAAAAAAGGGTTAATTTGACGGACCAAAGCTATATACGTTAAAATTAAAATGAGGTATTCTATTTTTTACAATTTATTTTTAACAGTTTTATGTCATTGTATTTGTTTTTGAAAATATATTCCTTCCATTTTGAGGTGTTATGTATATGTGTCTTTATTTCTACTCATAAAAACAAAAATTTAGTAATGGTTTTCATGTAAAATAGTTCCTACATTTATAATATTACTAGTTAAATAGTTCTTATTAAGAAATCAAACAAACCAAATACATATCATATTTATTTTTCTATTATTCATTCTGAAAGCGGAATACTGACCATCAGCGAAAAGTCCAAGCCGTTTCGGCTTCTTCACGTCTCCTGGCTGTGAAAAGGGTTGGTTGAGAGCAACGATATGCATCGAAAAGCCGAAAACGAAGATTCCCAGGACGGCGAGGAACCGGGCCAAATCTTTCATCAGGTTGCCGATAATAATGGCCCACGGCCCGAACAGGTAGTGAAAAGAAAGGAAGTCAAGGATTTGAACACAGGCGAGGAGGAAAGACAAAGCGAAGAGCTGGTTGCGGAGGTAAAACAACGTCGGCCACCATGGTTTGCTGACAGCAAGGCCTAGGACGTGAAGAGCCACGCCGAAAATACCAAAAAGCAGCACTGCTAATTTTATCCAGCCCAATCCGCTCTTGTCGCTCGGGTTCGTCAGTTCGGACAAGAGAAGCCCGGACAACCAAACCAACAGCGCCCATTCATACCTGAAAACAATCATTCAGTATCACCTAATAAAACGCTAAACCAACAATCAAATACCAATAGGGCAGAATGTTTGGCCTGAGAACAGGATAAATGGGTATGATGCCCGTTAGCATTAAAAGAATCATCAGGTGGACGTGAGATGTCAAGTACGACATGAATTTAATAATAGGAATCTTGAAGAATTTATGGCCGAGGGGAAGAGTAAAGTATATCCATACGGGAGGACAGATGATGAAGGTGAGAAAAAGCAGCATGGTTTTCCAACCCGCCCAGTTTAGGCTTCCTTGCCACAATTCCTTGAAAGAAAGAACGCGTTTATTATCAGATGAAATGGGACTTGTGTAAAAACAAGCTCACTTGCAGATACCGCTGAACGACCGTGTGGGCGATTACTTCCTTTTGTTCGTTTTCTATGAGAACGTCTAAAAACTCGATGTTCCTTCTGTCGGTCGCTGTTAGGATCCTACCAGCAGAGTCTGCACCAGCAGCTAAAGCAAGCAATTCCGTAGCCATACCTTCGCACATCTTTCCTGCAGCTATTAAATCTTTAGCTCTCTCTTTCTCCTACAAAATCGTGTGCAAACTTCAATATAAAATACCGTCCTTATTGTTTAATAAAAAAATTGAATTAAAGAAAAATCGAATTACCTTGTTCGATAAGTTAATATAAATACTGGATAATTTGGCCGCTATGTCGACAGGTGCTGGAGAAACGAGTATGAATTCTTGCATAGGTTTATCGTTGTGTTTTTTACTGCATATCATCAAGTTATAAACGAACTAAAATTGAAATTAAAATTAATACATCCCTAATCTATCTTTTCGAGAAAAAAACCATACTCTTCGGTCTTCCATAAGAGAATAGCTGTCGTGTTCTTTTGTCATTAAATATTCCAGTACGTCGTTGTGCCCTTCTGAAGCGGCAAACCAAATCGGAGCGGACCCATAGTTGGTTTCGGATTTTGGAGAACCGCCTGACTCTACGAGCAGTTTAACCACCTCAAAACATCCAGCTCGAGCCGCGCAGTGAAGAGGAGTCCAACCATTCTATAAAAATTTCAGTTAGAACAATAACCCTAGATTAATTTTATTTAAAAAAATTACCTTGTCGGTAGCGTTGATTTCCGCTCCTTGGCCCAGGAGGACTTCTACCATTTGATAATGCCCATGAGTCGAAGCGATATGCAGGCCTGTTTTCCCATGTCTGTCCTGGCTCTGCAAAAGATCCGCCGCCCTGCTGAGCAGCAGTCCCACTACCGTGATGTGACCTCCGAAGCACGCTAGATGAAGAGGATTGTAGCCCTAAAATTAAATAATATTAGAACCGTTAAGTTGACATTAAAGTGTTCAGACGGTACATTTTCTGTAGTAGCAGAATCGACTTGGACTCCTGCTGAATTCAGCAAAAGCCGGACGACGTTCTCGTTGCCAGAATATGCGGCGAGGTGAAGTGGCGTCATGCCGGATTCGTTTCCAAGTTCTCCGACGAGAGAAGTCCCCTGGGGAGGATCAGATTTGACTATCGCAGGAACGTTAGCGAGCAACTCTCTGACCGTGTCTAAAAAATTAACAAATGCCAGTTATTATTTAAAAAAAATCAAACTGGTCCATGTTAGTTGATTATTAGTGCACACTATCAAACAATAAGGTGATTCCCAAAGCATAGGTTTTTTCAAATTTCTCAAAGTTCGACTTTTCCTTGGAGTTTGGGTAAATATTGTGACTTAATTACACAAAATTGAAACAAATTAGGCAAGAAAATATTGAATCTTCTGGTCACGACATAGGCTAAGCACTACACGGGAAGTACACCTGCTAAGAGAAACCAGCCAACGATGGCACTCAGTATGAGGGTTTAAGGGGCAAGGAAGTCACGAGGCTATCGTCGTTTATGGCGCATTGCTGGGTTATTAGGATCGGAAAGGGTAGAAAGGACTTAGGCAGTAGGGTTAGAATGGATCTTTTCTTAGAATGGAACTTTTGAAGCAGGATCAGATCAGTCATTTGACTAAAGGAATGATCAGATTGTTCTGAATCTTGGTTAATGACGTAGTGGTAATTTGTCTGAGGAATTTTGGTAGGAAGGATTTGGATGCGTTAGATTTTGGGTAGCTTAATGGCCTGTTCCTCACTCCAATGTCCAAATTGGTCGCAGTTTAGAAATAATTGAGTTTTGATTGTCAAACCATGTTTTCGTTTAAAAAATATTTGCAGTTGTCCAAGTCTTCTGTTAAATTGTGGTCTCTTGTGTCATGTGTAGGGAATCTACGTCCGTCTGCTATCTAAGTATAATCCTAAGTCTCTGACTTGTGTGGAAGTCTCCTAGTTGTAGATTTAGAGTGGAGGGTAAAAATGTTCTTTCACTGTAAACGTACTCTAAACATTTTTCCTCATTTAATATTGTTATACACATTTTGCCCCAGTCTTTGATAATTTCAAGTGTTCTTCCATATTGGAGGTCGCTTCAGGTTCAAGCTAGAAGACAGAACTACGTATCATCTGAGTAGGTGGTCATTATGGTCGTGGAATATAAAGGAAGAGTTTATAAATGGTAACAGGGTAGGGCCGAGAATGCTCCCTTGTGGAACGTCGGCTTTTATTGGTCGAATATCCCAGTACTCTTAAGCTGCTGTCAGTTAAATAGGTACTTAATATTTGATTAATTTGTTAACTAAACTAGATAAACCCGAGGTTCCGGTGTATCTGACCAAACAATCCAAAGCCAAAATACATATTTTTAATTTGGTCGTTTCGACGATAGAAATATACTTACTGTATGTTTATCGAAGCTCACAACATAATCTTATGTTAGTGTGCAAAAACAATTATAATTATCCGCTTGTGAGACTCCACACAACTTGAAGATGACGAGTAACAGAAACGCGTCTGAGAGACCAAAATATCTGAACGTAGTTTGGTCATTTCCAACGGTAGAAAAGGCCATGTGTTTGTCAAATCTCATAATATAATTATATTTTAGGTGTGTAAAACATTAATAATCATTAGTTTGTGTGATTCTACCCATCCTAAAGATGGCGAAAAGCAGAAGAAAAGGATAGTCCATAATAACCATAACCATAAACATCCAAAGTATAGGCGTGTATAGGCGACATACTTCAAGAAGAAATCAAATGGATTACTAAAAATATATAAACAATAAAAATAATAAGCATACCGGCTTGACCAAAATAAGCTGCAACGTGGAGCGCAGTTACACCCAATTTTTTACTCGATATCCTGAGAGATTGCGTTGAGCGCATTACTTCTAAAACCGGACCATGACCGTGTTGAGCTGCCAGGTGCACCGCTGTAAAACCGGCCTGAAATATTTTTTTAAATAAATATCTGGATTTGGGAATTTTTCGGATGACATGCCTTGTTCTCGTCAGTGCAGGATGCACCCGCTCTGACCAGGACTTTGACTACATCCGCGTGACCCCCTTCAGCAGCGAGTTGTAAAGGAGTTGCTTCTGTGATTTTATTCCTTGCCGAAATGACTCCGGCTCGGTCGAATTTCATCAGTTCCTCTATGACCCGTACTGAACCCTGCATCGCTGCAATGTGGGCGCAGGTGTTGCCGTCTTTGGTACACGCCATTACAAGAAGATGCTGCTGCTGAAGAAACAACTGCGCCACCTCGGGAAAGTTGTTCTGTGCGGCGACATGAATCGGTTTCTGTCCTAGCTCGTCAGTCGCATCTATGTTTGCCCCGAGATCAAGCAGTAACTTGCAAACTTCAAGTTGACCCGCTGCTGCAGCCAGATGAAGCGGCGTTTGCTTTTTCAAAGTCAGAACGTCGATAACAGCGTTATGATCAGTAACCAGAAACCTTTTAAATAAACATTATAAAAATTTGCTGTTATATGATTGATAATTTTTTCCTTACTTGCAAAGATTTGCGAAACCGTTCATCGCAGCTAAGTGAAGCGCCGTTCTTCCCACTCTCGATTTGCTGTTAATAAATGCTTTATGGGTGAGAAGAGCGTCACATACCTAGATAAACAAATAAGGTTTTTAAATTACTTAGCCGTAGATTATTGAAGCGTTTATGCCACTTAGTTTAATTGTTAGGTCTTTATTTATATATTATCGCATTTTGGCTGTAAGAGAGGCTGTAAGGAATAAAAACAAATTAGACAAAAATTGAATTTTTAAAAATCTTTATTAGTTTTCTTTTCTCGTAGAGAATTTTATTAGTAATTTTGAGTATTTGCAATTTAAAAAGAAATGTAAACATACTTTAAAAGGAAGAGTTTTTACCTCTAGGAAGCCTCTTTCGGCAGCAAGGTGAAGAGCGGACCGTCCTTCGTTGTCGAACACGTCCACCCTAGCGTGGTTGGCCAAGAGTGTATTGACCATTTCCATATGTCCGTGGTGACAAGCTATCAGTAGAGGAGTCCAGCCAATTGCTGATTGCCTGTTCAGAGCTTTCTGCACATCAGTCGTCGTCATTGCAGCGATAAGCTCAGTCAGAACGTCATTGTTGCCTACTATAGCGCAGTAATGGAAGACTGTTTCTAGGCTCTAAAATAATTTTTTTAAATATTTTGTTTCGCTTTGAAAAGAAAGGATTTCCAACCTGTTTCGTCGTGAGATTCATATTGGCACCATTTTGCGTAAGCAACCTGACAACTTCTTTGTCCTCTGTTGGATTTTCAAGGTTGACTTCAGACTTAGTGACTTCTCCGATGTAGTGTAACGCCGTCGCACCGTTTTCCGTGACTGAGTTCACGTACATTGTTGCAACCTTTATAACAAAAAAATGTTTAACAATTTTTCTGAGTTTTATTGACGAACGGTACCTCAGTTCCTTTGGAATCCTTAACAAACGATATGAGGTGTCTCACTACTTCGGCTTTACAACCTCTACTAGCTAAATGCAGAGGAGTTTCGCCAATCTTAAAAAAAACATAATTAGATTAAACTCTTTAAATCTTAAACTGTAATAAAAAAATAATGTTACTTTTGATTTGAAAAGTGGGTCACCGTTGTCTTCAAGGAGGAGAAGGAGTGTCGCCAGGTTTCCGTGTTTGGCAGCGACGTGGACTGGCGTTTGACCGTCCGCAGTTGTCAAATTCGGGCCAGCTCCTGATTTGAGGAGCATAAGTGCACATCTGTCACCGTCTTTCACCCTTGCAGCTATATGAAGAGGTGTCTCCAACTGGCTACCGCCTGCAAGGCGAATATTTGATAAATAAACCAGTAAAGAAGTTTTTTTAAACATTTACCTTTGACGTGAACGTCAGCCCCGTAGCCAAGAAGAGTTTCAACGACAGCCGGTTTTGCAGATTCGACAGCTATGTGGAGAGGGGTGTAATTGTCCTAAACCGAAATTGGTGAATGGTAACAAGAAATTTGAGAAATTTGACTAGAAAACAGAAATGCTTACGCTCGTTGTCACATCAACATGTTCTCCTTTCTGAAGAAGAGTGTTTATGATTCCCACATGACCGTATCTTGCTGCGGTGTGTATGCTTCTTGCTCCTCTCTAGAAGGACAAAGATGCACTTAATATTTTACCAGAACTTAAAAATCAAGCCTTCATATTCTCTGAAAAACTCATAATGATTGCAAAAATTTTAAAGATTATTAGGAGATCGTGAGATGCGGTCTGGTGTGACGTAGGTTCTAGAAAAACATTTTCTTTATCGTGCCAACGTTTCGATCTTTATTGAGATCATCTTCAGGGCTCAAAGGGTTTGTTTTCCGTGTATATGTGTCATTCTTGTGTGTCGTGTTGAGAGTGCCAGTGAGAAAAAAATTAACGTTAATATTAATCCCGATTGATTTCATATAAGAAGAAAATAACTATAAATGAAAAATAATTAAATAAAGGGACTTGCTAGTGAACGATTATTGAGGGAATTAATTCAAGCTAAACATGAAAGAAAAAAGGAGGCAACACAAATAATTGCCCAGCAGACTAAGTGTGACTGTACATAATTCATGCAAACGTTACTGCTGTTCTTTCAGCATATTTATGGTTTATGAAAATAATTATTATTTAAAATAAAATATTGTTGCCCATAAAAGGTTATTTCCCCTTATACATTCAAACCTAGTTGCTTTTGTCGTATTTTTTGGGCATAAAGTGCATAATATAAAATAATATACTATCGCAAAGAAAAATATGTACAAAGTTAATGTTATATGATGGTTACCTGGGCACAGAGTTACTCTAAAAAAATATTAGTGTCAAATGTATCAAAGAAATATTAACAATAAATTCACCATCCCAATTTTGTAGAAGGAAATTTATCGCTATTTACAAGTAATTAATCTTTATGTAAGGTATTGGTTGAGATAAAAATTCGAATTTCATCAAGAATCAAATAGATTACACGACATTTTCAATTCATAAGGTAGGGTTGAGATGGGGAGTTGATGTCCGAGTGGATCGAGGTCACGATAACTCAGGTGGTAGAGCAGCGGCGTATTTAGCCGAAGGTCGTGGGTTCGAATCCCTCTCGTGCCATTAACTTTTTTTCATCTCAACTAAAAACCTTAATTAATTGTAAAGTATTAATTGATCAAGCAGACCACGAAATTAGTGAATTTAAGGATTAAAATGAAGTACACTTTACTAAAGCTCTCCGTCGCCATTTCAATTGTCGTCGAGAATCCAAACTGATTACACGACATTTGAAAAATGGCAAAAGGAGGGAAAACTCATAAGGTGGGGTTGAGATGGGCAGTTGATGTCCGAGTGGATCGAGGTCACGATAGCTCAGGTGGTAGAGCAGCAGCGTATCTAGCCGAAGGTCGTGGGTTCGAATCCCTCTCGTGCCATTAACTTTATTTTCATCTCAACTAAAAACCTTAATTAATTGTAAAGTTTTTATACAATAATTCTTATAGACCTCTTTTGATCTGCAAACTTTTGTATCGACAGAGATTTTCCAAAATATTGATACGAATAAGACTTGATAACTTATTCACCTATCCGAAGATGCTTCGCGATGTTACACAAAAAATATCTAAATGCGAGGTTTGCATGCGGAATCACATACATTGCTAACCCATTCAAAAAGATTTTTACAGTGCACCCCATCAACACGAACCATGGAGAAAATGGACATCGATTTTGTTGGCGCCTTTACCAACCTCTTCCACCGGTGATAGATTTATTTTTGCAAAAGATGCACTTAGCAAATTTTTATTCGCGATTCTATTTAGCAACAATATCCTCGTACCACCGAAATAACCATTAGAATATTAAAAAGCATAGTCTCGTTTTGTCTTCGTCGACAATACTGTTTCTGAGCACAAACAAGTAATAATTTCCTTTTCAACCTGGGAATCACATTCTTTGCTAATATTGAACAAACAAATCTAGCGACAGGTATATCTCAGCCTTCAAGAAGTCGATTAGAGGTTATCATAGTGTACTACAATAAATATACCTCTTTAACCTTTTTCGGACGTGACTTACAACACCACTGACTGTGAAACTAATCATGAGGAAAACTTGACCAACTTAATCAAGAAGAAATCTAATAACATTTATAGACAACATATCAAAATTTGTTACAAGCACATAAAGCACGAAGACATCACATCGAGAAGTAACAAATAAATGATCGAGGACAACCTGCTAAACATAACGTAATACGTGAATATTCATCCAATATTAACAGCAAATTTACATTTCTAAGTAAACTTCATACCGTAATTACTAACATGTTTTTGCTAATAATTACAGACCTATTTTCCTTACACTATCACTAAGCAAAATTTCGGAAAAAATGGTAGATTTTCTTTGTGATAACAAAATAATTTCCCTAAACTAATATGGACGCCTATCATGCAAATCTGTAGAAGATGCACTTTTTGAGGCTTGATTTTATATCAAAAGCTCTTGACAATAAAAATAAACGTGTAGGATTGTTATTGTATATATCAAGGGTTTTCGATTCAGTAGATCCTGCACTATTGCTTGAAAAACTTTTCAATATTGGTATCAAAGGATTAGTTTATAATTTAATTAAATCATATTTGTTAAATAGGACTCAAAGAACGAAAATAAACCAAATTTTTAGCTATCCCATTTGTATTAATTGTGGTGTTACACAAGGAAATGTTTTAGGGCCTGTATTATTTTAAATTTACATTAACGATTCTTTTTAATTTAAAACTTTATGGTAAAATATTGGGATTCGCTGATGATGCTATACTTTTTTTCTGGAAATATGTTGTTATAATAAAAAATATTAATGATGAAATAAAAGTAGTTAAAAAATGGTTAGATAGTAATTTGTTTGTTTTAAACACACTTGAAACTAAAAATCATTAAATTTAGTCTCTCAAATCAAAACAACAAATAAAAATATAGTAATAAATTCTTGTGAAAATACATTTAGCTGTAATTGCCCAATTATATCCTTTTTTAAACAAACAAATTAGACATTTGGTTATATTTTTGGGGGATTATTGATAGCAATCTAACCGTCATTGAACTTTGATTTGTTTGTTTCGACAGAAGAAGTAATTTTATTTGTATTTGTCAAACTTTCTTTGTAGAAGAACTTTGTTTTTATTTCGCATCTATAAGGCCTTTATTAAATATCAGAAGTGGCCATATTACTTTGTTTTTATTTTTAATATTTTCTCCTTGCCTTTTTCTGCTATTGAATTCATTAATTTCTTTCTGCTTTACTTGTTAAATCTTGTTAATTAACTAGTTTTAGTATTATATTCTCATATTATATAACGCTTTTTTTTAATATAAATCAAAGGTATACAATTTTCTACTATAAAATGTTCGACCACAAGAAGTTCGACCTGATCTGAGTTAAATCTTGAATTCATTCAAAATGATTCCATCATAAAGGATTTCGATAGTTATCATATCATTTCTGGACTTAAAACCTTCTTAGTTAGCCATGCACTAAGCGTTTTTGGATCTTGATAAATTTCTGGTTAGAGCTTTTGGTATTCGATTCTATCTCTTGATAACATTCGTTAAATAATCAACCTTTCATCGTTTTGAATATATGGTCTCATCCATAGCTAGAAACCTGTTTTTAAGTGTAAACTATGGCTATCCTCCATGCCTTGGTGTCATTTGAATGAATAGACCATTTTAGCCTAGATGGCTAGGAATCATGACTTATCTTTAAATCTGTTGTACGATGATGCTGTTTGTAATTTGGTCAGTTAATAATTTGTCTCTCTCTTCGTACTAAACACTGAAGGTAGGAAAATGCCAAAACGTGTTGGACAGATCAATCCAGCGAGGATAGGGAGACAAAACTGATCTGATTTCAATCAAAGGTGATGATTTCTCTCCGAAACCTTTTTCTTTAGTACTTAAGGTTTATCAGAAAGCTTCTTGTACATCTACACGTATAGATGGATGGGTAAGAAATAGATCTTGGCGAGTTATCTTTTTTCTGATCACCGAATTTGGTAAAATTGCGAGAGTTGGTTGACGAAAGGAATGCTGAGGTCGTTGTGGGTCTAGGATAACGACATAGTGGCAATTTATCTGAGAGCGTTTGACAGGAAGGAATGGATACGAGAGATATTGGATGGGTTGGTAATCTGTACTTCACTCCGTATGTCCAAAGTGGTCGAAGTATAGTAGTTGATGGTTTTGATCTGCAAGTTACAATGTCGCCTATGTCTTGTGAGGGATGCTACATCCGTCTGCTGTCCAGGTGTAGTCCTAGAGTGAAAGTATCCTAGTTGTTGATGTAGAGTGGAGGGCAAGACTGTACTTTCAATGCAAATATACTCTCAATAGTTTTCCTCATTCTGTCTTCCTTTCTACTTTTTATACCAGTCTATGATAAGCTCAAGGCCTTCTTCGATGTTGGAGGTCACTTGGATAGGGTTAAGGCTAGAAGAGGAACTGCGATATCATAGCAGTAAGTGATAATAATAGTATTGGGATGAGGTTAGCAGTATAAATGCAGCATAATGCTGTATCCAATTTTATTAGTTAATCATTTTTCTCTATCTTCACACCAAACTGGAACAAACCGGCGAGGATAGGGAGACTAAACTGACCTGATTTCTATCACTGTGATGAATTCTCTCCGAAATCCTTGAACTTAAGGTTCATCATGTAAGCTTCTTGCACACCTAATCAGTAATGGAGATAGATGGATGGATAAGATCAAAATCTTGGGGAGTTATCAGTTATCTAAACACCGAGTTTTGTAAAAAAAAGATAAAGTGGCATTTAAGTACCGGCCATGACCAAAGATTTTCAGTCTTAGCATTGTGAATTTTATTTTCGAATAGTTCCGCATTATTAAGACCTTATAAATATTGTTATTATCTGTTATTCTTTAATTGTGTTAAATCGTATCTAAACGGATTGTTGAGACTGACCTTGTTGGGCATGTGGAGGTAGACGCCCTTTTTAAAGAGCATCATAGCACATTCTGCATGCCCGTTGAGCGATGCGATGTGCATGAGCGTGCTGCCGTCTTTGGTCCTTTCGAAAATGGACGCCTTGAACTTATCGGCGAGCAGTTCGATGATGGTCGCGTGGCCATATTCGGCAGCGAGGTGCATCGGAGTTCGATCTGAAACAAAACACATTAAATTTAAACTCCTGCGATGAAAATGAAAACGCACTGTCGATATCGCTAGTCGTGGCGGCCCTTTTCAGGCTTTTCCTCCTCCTCCACCATGCATCCATGCTCACCGGATGCCCTATTACTTATGGCACCATTGCCGTTCGTGTAAATCACGTTTAAATGGAATCTCCCGGCCTTAGTTACGTGAGGGAAAGGGTTTGCGTGCCCCTGGGAAATGGGTAAAGTACGGGGATCATCTCCGTAAAATAAGTTTCCCAATGACATATGTGACCTACACAGGGCCCTGCTGAAATTGTCTGAATTTATCTGGGAGAGGTGTTTTCCCGGAGTGCGCATATGTTGACTTGAAAGAGATTTTACCTTGGTGGTCGGTTATGGAAGCACTGGCTCTAACTCCGTAGAAATATTTAACAAGTGTCTCGTCTCCTTCGGCCGACGCGATGTGCAATGCAGTCTGTCCTTCTCCCTGAAATAATGAAGTAGGATTAGTGACCTAGCCTAAAACGGCAAGAAAGAATAATTTTTTAACGAAATTTGCCAACACTAAATGAAAAAATTCAGACTTAAGAGAGAAGAGATGTTTTATCTTGTTTTTAGTGTGTAAAATAGCAATTTTGATAACACATAAATTATAAACATAAGAAAGACCTTTAAAAAAATTAAAGTTACAAAGTAAATTTTATTGAATTGTATTTTTATTTATTGGTTTATGAAAATATGAAAATACTTATTATTTATTATATACATGGTGTCCAGTAAACAGATGTAATAATTAAGAAGATTATCTTGGTTTCTTAAGTACTGTAAGTCCTGTATTGATAATATACACCTTCTTGAATAATGCAAGCCTGACAAGGTGAAAGTTTTGAAAATTTAATTTAATTTTTGGAAATTTTTGTTTTTTATTATTTTCAATTTCGCATGGTAAATTTTGTGGTAATTTTTATACTACTTTCATACCTTTTTAATAGAATTTTTAAATTATACTGACTATTTTTTAACAATTTATAACTGAAAAATCAAATTTTTAGAAATTCAGCAATATTTGTTTTATATTGATCTGACTTTTGTGAAATTGGGTAAATGTGTTACAGCTCAATAGAAGTAACATTTCTGTTAGCATTCACAGAAATAAGAAATTCTTACTAAACTTTAGACAAGAACTTAACTTGCTTAAAAGTTCATCTTCTATGTGATGTTGTATTTAGTTGGCTTAGGTTACAATACTAAATGAATCTCTTAAGGTTTTTATGCTCTTTTCATTTACAGCAGGATTAAGGTTTTAGGAGGTAGCGAGAATTTTATGAAATGAAATTGTGAAAGGTTGAAGTAACCAGAAAATAGAAATATCTCGGTTACAATTGAGGAATCAGAATTTGGTCAATAGAAACTTTTTAGTCCAATTTGCCATGTAGAATAAACTCCTGAAATATTACTGTGCATAACTTTTCAAAGTGGACAACAGTTGTTAGAACATAACAATGTTCTATTTTCTGATAGTAAAACAGAAGGCTGAAAAGGACGAAGTCGTTAGAACTCGTGTAGTAAAATTATTTACTGACTAGTGAAATGTAAAATTTATTGTATTTTTATTTATATTTATTTATGTAATATTTATGTAATTTGAGATCTGATTCGGGATTATATTGGTTTGGTGGTTCTGTAAATATTATATTGTAAACAATATGTCCTTCTGGAAGAATATGCCTGACAAGGTGGAAATGTTTTGAGTTTCTTCGTTTACTTTGTATTACTTTCATCATTGTCAAGAGAATTCTTGAAAATTTTTACGACTTCTATTTTTTATTTTCAGTTTGCAAAGAGGTATCTGAGCCATGTGTGTACAGATTATTACTAGTGGTAAATTTTCTGTAAGCACCAAATCTGTCAGTCCAGTCTACATGTCAATTAAAACCAAGAAAAGCTTGGTAAACTTGGAACAGTGATAAAAGTATATCTTCTAAATAATGTTGAATTTTTTTAGCATTGATTACAATAAAAAATGAATCTCATAGGGTTTTAATTACAATTTCTATTATTTAAAATAAATTTTCAGCAGGATTGTATTTTTTTGAGATTAGGAGGATTTTATGAATGAATTTGTGAAAGGTCCAGGAAAGTGAATTACCTTGAATATTGAATAATTGAATTAATAATTGAATTTGAATAATAATTTTAGAATCAGAATTTTTACAAAAAGGACTTTTTAGTCTAATTTGACATAGGATAACCTCCTGAATATTGACGTTTTCACGGAACACCCTGTATTCCATTTTAATTGGTCTATGAAGATCAATTTTACTTTTTTTTAGAAGTACACTAATAATTTTTAAAAAATATAGTATAAGAAAATTGGTGAATCAGAATTAAATCTAAAGAAGATATTCGTAAAATAAAGGAAAATTAAACTTAAATTGAAAACAAAAAATTTTTTTTACGTAGGAAAACAAGGTATTGTTAATCAGAAACATACTAAACATTGCAAAGATAAGATTTAGTACAAATTAAGTTATGAAATTACTAGTTTATGAGGCACTGTATCTTAGAACAAATAGAAATATATTCAATAATATTAACTGCTTAATTTTATAATTTAATTTTATGCAAATGTAGGGGGGATATGCTAATAATTTGGTTGTTTTTAAAAATAGTTTCGTAGGCTGGGAAAATATCGACTGGGGGAAGTGTAATATGACAGAAGGAGGTTATTATGCTGCCTAGAAATTGTACTTTGTATAACTTGACATTCTAAACTCCTTTTTTGGTAACTTTATCCTATTTCATACCTTTTCTGTGTGCATCAATTGACATGATTTTATTTATAAAAGGATAAGTTCAGGTTTATTGAGTAATCACTATATAAAAAATATTTTTACAAGGGATATAAAAATAAAAGAAAAAAGACCTCAGTCTTTTCCAACTTTGATATAATACTAAATATATGTTATTTAAATAAAATAGGTTTTTATTTATTTTTGTTTATCTCGTAGTCCCTACCAACTGGAGGAAATGTAAGGTGAAATAGGGAGGTTATGAAACAATTTAGGGGTTTTCATCGTATATCTAAATGTAAAATGATTATTTCTAATAAAATTATTGTTCAGCCTTTGTAAATTATAATTATAAATATTAAAAAATCAGGGTTGAGGTCAATTAGGTAAAGATTTGTTGTAGGTTGTATTGGTCATTTTTGATTTGGTGCTGTATGATTTAAATTTCTAATTTTATGGCAATTATAACTATAAATTATCGATTTTGAACAAATGCTCATAAGTAATGCATTTCTTTTTTTCTTAATAAATGGTATACATTTTTTGAACGCCCTACGAGTATTTTTTTCTTTATTGGTCTCATCTATGTCTTTTTTTTTTAATATGATCGTGAAATTATTGGTGTAAATTTCATTGTACTTACATTCTGTCCGTCGACGGGTGCTCCGTAGTCAACGAGTATCCGGACCATGTCGATGTCCCTTCTTCTTGCAGCGAGGTGTAGTGCCGTGTCACCATTGTCAGTCGTCGCTTTCAGCTGGTCTACCGTGCTCTGCGACAGCAGCTCCCTGCACATGGACTGGTTTCCCGCTTCGACGGCTAAAAGGAGCGGAATTTTCCCCCTCTGAAAATCAGACATGACTTTTGTCATTTTATCCTTCCAGTTTTTTCCCGTGGGGGTGCCGGCCAGAAGCCGGTTCTTCAGAATGAAGTTGCCCCCGTTGATGGGCAATCCTCCGCTTTCTGGCGGCGTCGCCATCCCATGTCCTTTTTCAAGGGTGGACCCGGCCTATTCACCTCATCACTCGACCGTTACCGTAAACCTGCCACAAACGGCTGACGGATAGTTTAGCCGCATTGCTCATTTCGTATATGGTCACATAACATCCAAATCTTATAGCTACTTAATTTTTGAAACACACAACTGGACTCATCTTGACGAGGTGTTAACACATCATTTTCGCTTAAAAAATACAGAAAGCGACTGTGAAAAAGTTTGTGTCCTACCAGCTGGCAAAGGTAAATGGCTTCAACGCTATCTGTGGAAAGAGGAGGGGCAAAACGGAATAGCTTTTGCGCCGGAATATCCAGACTTTCAATATAAAGGGCCTTGGAGATATCTGGCGCTTTCCTTCACAACACCAATATTTAGCATGCGATATTGTGGTCGTTTTTTAACCGTATATGTAATGTCATTATTTCAACCCTAACCGCCTTTCAGGGCAATAATCTCAAAAACTATAAACATTTAACATTGATCATTAAAATAAATAATAAAATCACCTTTTTTAAAAAAAAATTACGCAATCTTATTGACCGTAGAACCCCAGGACTCGGAATAAACTGTTATGTTTTTACGCAATAGTCGTAACGACTAAGTGTTTTGGTAAGTGCTGGGAATATCACGTGACTGGCTTAGGGTGCCTGGAGGTGACAGTCACCGCTGAGGGTGGCAGTAGAACAAATATCATACTTAAGCCGATTCGAGATTCATCTTACCCTTTTGTAAATTTTCAACTCGGATCGACCCGATGGCTCATTGCAAAAGAAAAACGTATCTGAATAAAATTTTGTTATCCAGGCTTTTACCAATCCATTGAAACCGGAAGGAGGGGAATACCTCGCGTGGAGATTGTACGGCTCGAGTTATTGCCTCTATACGTTTCGACGATCCTGGCGTTTTCGTCGCTATTTACCATAAATTACTCTCGATTTTTTCGTTATCAGCCTCTTCTTTAACACAAACTATAAAGTACTATTTTACTATTCGCATATCTGATTGTGCTTACATATTTATTTATAACAGGTCAATATGGATTTATGATGCTAAACCCGCATGACAGAAATGCGTTGCTGAACTGAAACACGTATTCACTCAGCCGTTAATAATAATAAACAGACAAAAAATATTAAGTGTTATTTAGAGAGTAATAAACTTATCTACATTAAAGAATTCAACAAGAATTCCATTAATAATTTCTTTTTAAATATGTTATATTTCAAACATTAATTATATCCTAGATAATTAACTTACAAGGAGAGGCGACGGTCTTGATGTTGCCGATTTGAATCTAACTTTTTCTAGTGACATTAGGTCGAAAAATATTGCACATGTTAGATTAAAATCGTAAACAGGTTAAGCGTTTTGAATCAAGACAAGTTGGCTTTATTTAGATCGCAGTAATTTTATCGCCTGTCCTTAGGGGATGGTCCAGCCTAAATAGGAGATGTGACGTTTAAGGTATACAAGAAGAGAGGTTCCGTTGTTTTCAAGTAGAACAGTTCGTAGTAAAATAAAAGTTGGAGGGTGAAATGATTTTCTAAAAAAAAAAAGTTTAGTATCCTCAAACCTGAGAAGCGGTAGCACATTATCGATCGACTTGGGATAGGCTAAACTTCGAATTAAATTTAATTAAGAAGTTAAAATAGCGAATACCAAAGTCTAGGACGTAAGGAAGGTCGGTTTTACAGAGGGAGAACAACAAGAGGCTGAAGACGCATCCTTGACTAACGCCAGACTTAACAGAGAAATATTGCGAGACCATATTATTTTAGTTTATTTGGGCTTTTATGAGCCGAATTATTTTATATTTTAAAATGAACTTTAAAAAGAAGTTTTTTATTTTTTTATTATTAGGCATACATTTAAACTATTTAAACTGAAAAAAATTAAAGAACGACTATTACAAAGGTCATTGAGGCATTGTGGCAGATTATACAACATTCCTTTTATTTACAAAGATAATTTTCATAACTTAATATTTTTTAAGCCACTCGAATCTCACCTGCCTTATTTAAGCAATTGGACAATTCAAAGTACAATAGTTTATTTCATTGCCAAAGTTAATTACCTTGTGGTTGGTAATATGGTGAAACCGTTTTTATGTCTTAGCTTATTAAGTTTAATTATCGTAAAGTTATCATATTATTGGCTAATGATATACAAAGTGCTATTTGTCATAGGTCCTAATTATTTATAATAAGTTTATAAGAGGTTCATTTCCCTTTTCCAGGGTTCAGTTATATGGAATGGAGAAGCCTCAATTAGCACTCTGTGTGATGGGATTCTCATATATGAATTTTCTGCATTTTTCCTCCTTTACAGAGTACGACGGCTATATTTTTATTAAGATTTCGGTTAGAGCGCTTAAAGAGCAGAACACGTTTGTTATATGCCAACTTTTTTGGGTTTCCTGTCAAGTAACATGATATGACCTGCAAATTTCAGCTGTCTCTTTTTATAGTAATTCCTTTAGCCCTCATTGTAAGAAAAATATACATGATTGTTTAAGGATGAAAAATGATTTTATCCAATTCACTTAATTCACTTAATAGGAAAACGAAAAATTCAAATTGAGATGTTTTAACAACTAAGCCCAGTGGCGGGTCCAAGGGGGGTGTAAAAGAGAAATTAACCCTCCCCCCCTGGAGCCAAGTAAAGATACGTGTTATATGTAATATGTCTTAGTTTAGCCTTAATTAAGCGAAGAGGCTTACATTTCAGGATTGATCTGCTACCTCTGATAAACCTTTCCAAAATTAAATCAGTTTCCTCGTAACTTATCACGCTTGGGCTTTTTTTGTCTCCCGGTTCGATACTTCGATCACTCGATTTGATATCAAGAAACCGGTATGTTGATGTTTAATTTTAGATAGGTTTCTTTAAAAAATCTAGCGCTCTCTAACGGTTGCATTTTTGATCGCATACCAATGAAATTTGGCAGGGTGGTAAAGAATCCTATAAGGACAGTTGGGATTGTTTTAGCCAAATGTACTGGTGGTCGCAGAGTTATAGGTGAAAAGTAAAAAATTCAATCAAAATGTTTGCCATTTTTGCGTTTTCTTCCGCACAACAACCACCATGGTTTGTTTAACTTCATTCCCTCCTAGCTACACCTCTGTTATTGGATTTTCAAATTTTTGGTACACGATTTTAAGCTGGATTCTTCCTGTACCTTTTAAGCTTGGTTTAGCTCAAATCAAAGCAGTATATTAAAAGTTATCATAATTTGAAAAAATCCCATTTTTAATCAGGATTTTTTCTCTACTACGGTACTTTCAAACCTAATTTCCTTCGTTTATATGCTCAAATTAATTTATTTTTTATAACAAAATGAAACCGTAGGCTTTCTTAATTTTTTGTTACCAAATATCCCAACATTTCTTGGAAAGTAATAGAGAAATCACGGTAAAAAGCAAAAGTCCTTAAAATTGTGTATATTATGAAAAAACATGGTGTTGCCATCACACGTCTTTTTACGTAAATATAACATTTTTATTTAAAAGTAATTGTGAAGTTAAACGGGAAAATAATTAATTACAAAGGTTAAATAAAATTTCAGATTAGGTAGTTAACTTATTTTATTTTCAGTGGCCTAGGAAAAACTGTCCGGAATCTAATTTAATTTAACGCCAGCTGTTAATAATAAACAAAAATATTTAACTGATTTTTTTATCCTACTGCAATGAGTTTATGCTGTTAAGTTTTTTATAAAATAAATAATAATATATACCCATTGAATTCAAATTATTCTATAATTTTAAAGTAGAAAATTTTTAGCACCGCTGGATTGATTCTACCAAAGAAAGAAGTCTACCTCTCACTCTTTATTGCCGTAATTTTTTTATGCGTTTATTTTTTGTGCTAAAAAATTACATTGCAGACCATGATTTTTTTCGTGATTAGGCATGTCCTTCTGGTGATTTTCTGATTTCTGCCTCTAATCTTCTTATCCGATCTCTTGATGGGATAACCTCTAAGTTGGCGATAAATTTTTTACATTCTTTAATGTTGGTGACTAAAAACAGACTATGCAGACTATGACAGAAAAACATTTTAGAAACTTATGATGTGCCTTTTTGACATTAAACTATTCAAACATTTAAATTAAGTGATTTTTTTTAGTTTTAGTTTTTTAGTTTTTCCCTTTGAAGGAAAGAGTATTGCGTTAGGGCGTAAAACGATGTGTAGAGTTTTCACTCAATTTGCATATTTTTAGGTCCCCTGTGCAAAAAGAAATCGAAATTTGTAACCAATTGTTCTTCACTTCTTATATTTAAACATTTATTATTTTTTTATTCAAAAATAAATGTACTGTTTGAAATCATACTTTAAACATTGTAAAATAACTTTATTTTTAAGAGTAACTTAAAAATTTTACTTAAACAAACAAGGAAATAATAAAATGCAGGGTTTAATAGAACGTTGAAGGGTTGAATGACATCAATTTGCTGAGCATAATAGCCTTTTTTTTATTATATCCGATATTACTTGTGATCTACCCTTAAAATTATCTTTATATTTTTATACATTTAAGATCAGATATGAGAAAATTTTTTAAAAACTTCAATATTTTCGTCCAGTTTTCAAGAAAGTGGCACTGGTTCGATCTGGTGTTGTATGGTGTTAATTTTAATTTTATTGTAGTTAAAACTATATATTTTACTATATTTGTGACACTTTTTAATTTTTATTAAATTTTCAAAAATTTGTTTAAAGGGACTTATTGTTTGAAAGTTCGAAGAAGGGGCAGAGTGCTTTCTTTCTTATCGGCTTCATCCCGAATCGTTTTAATATGTAATTATTATTTATTTTAAATAAACAGATATATTCATGTACCTGTTTAAATCTGAGTAAATTCTCTGTCATATTTATTTGATTTAAAGTATAAGCTGATAATGACTCACTATAAGGCAAGGAGGCCTCTGTGGCGGTTGACCGGTGTACTTATGGGTCCTCATCCATTCCAGCCAGCTTACTCCTTTCATGTGAGTCACAAGCTTCCTGACTTGTAAAAAAAAAGAAACAAAACACTTTCCGTGTACACCGTTCACAAATGCACACACGTCTAAGGCGAGACTCGTCATCCGGACATCTCGTTTATTACATATCTGGTTCGCGTGTTCATAGTGGGAATTGTTTTCGTTTTAAACAACACGTGGCTGTTTTTTTTATCGTTTAATTTTTCCGGTACTTTAAGAAAAATAAATTGAGAAAAAAGTGAATTTGAACCATGTTTGAACTTACGGCGTCTTTACTGGTACGTATGTCCCTTCCAGCCGTGGCGAGCAACGCTCTGAGTATGCTGGTGGCAGTTCCGGTCTGCCTGCTCGCAACCAAATGAACTGCGGTTTGCTGTTTCGCCTGAAACATTTACCTTGTCACAGAAATTCTTCAGTTGGTTTTAAATTACTTACTCCTCCTGGAGTGTAGACGTCGATGCCTTTTTTCGAGAGTAGAAGCTTGACGACATCTTCCCTCGAGTACATAGCCGCAATATGTAACGCATTGTAATTGTCCTAAAAAGAAAAACAGGCATTATTATATATAATATAATTAATTACATAACAGTGCACTAAAAAAGTGTTTGATTAAAGGCCTAGTTAGTCTACGCTAACTCGACCTTAATCAATATATACAGTAACATTTTTTTTTAAGCGCAGTCTTAGTGTCAAAATTAACTGTCCTGTAATTGACATTGATATTACCTATTTTTGTTCTTTATTGACTCATCCTAAGATTAATCATTAGTCATGTCTAGACACAACAAAGACGATCAACCAGTTGCTTCCTGTCTATCACCATGAATAATTTCAGTTCGTTCTAGTTCTTCGAGATAATTTGCTTAATATTCCACAAAATAATCGTTCAAATTTTATGAAAGAAAGTTATTCAAACCTGTCCCCTCAAATCACTTTACAATACATTTTTGAAAACTATTAGGTTAATTAAAATTCAATGGTCTAAGCCGGGATTCGAACCCAGAACCGTTAGAGAGGTAAATATGGATCGGAGGCCCAAAACCTGGCTATCGCAGTCCCCTATTTTATGAAATATAGAAATAGATTTTGCTAAACAGATTTCTTCTCCTGCGGGTAGTTTGATCGTTTTCGAATATTTTTTTCTGCCTAGTGTCTGATTAATTTTTGTTTAATCGAGACCAAGACTAGACCCACCAATGAAGATAATGTTAATCCTAAAATACCACCCAATTGACTTTTTTTACATTTGCCCGTTAAAAGAAAATTCTGCCCTTAATTTTTCTCTTTGTTTTTATCAATAAATATTTGTTTATGCTGTTTTTAATTGGGAATTCAATTAGAGGTAAACACACTTAATCCGTAATCCAAAACCAGGATAAAGGAATTTTCAATGTTTTTCTTGTTACGGAATTTAAAATGTTTATTCAGTCTCATGTGAATTCTGAAGCAATAAACTGTTTAGTTTTCATCATTGTTTACGTAATTTCAATTTTAAATTTAAAAATGCTACTTAGTACTGAGGATGTAGCACGTGTTTTGGCACTTATTGATGAAGGCGAGACGCCGTAAGACGACCCAGTAACTCGAAGGTCCTATCATGGAAGGCCCGGTTCTGGACACCCTAGGGTAAAAGAACCGCAGGATGACCGTTTCTTAATTTGAGAATTTTGCCGAAACCGGCACCTTACTGTTGTTCAAGCGATTCATCAGCTCCAGGAAGTTCGAAGTGTCCAAATTTCTGCTCGAAGAAAATTAGATCAGTATGGACTGATGGCTTTTTGCCTCGTAAGAGGACCAGAATCGACGAGAACACTCAGAGTTGCACGGCTCGCATTTGCTCGAGATCACAGCCCTTGGTCTTTGGATTTTGGTCAGCTGTACTTCTTACAGATGAGTGTAGATTTGCCCTACGATCTCGAGATGGGCGTGAAAGAGTCTGGAGAATGCGAAATGAAAGCCTGTAATTTTTCCGAGAGCCAACCTTTTCAACGCAGCTCAATGATGATGTGGGCGGGAATTTCAATGGAGAGTCGCACAGAGTTGGTTGTTGTTCGTGGAGGGTCTTTGACGGCCACTCGCTATGTGGTTGAAATTTGGAACAGCATGCGTTGTCTATCCTAGATGAAATCAGCGGCAATCCTGTTCTAAAGCACGATAATGCCCGTCCACATGTCGCTCGCATAGTACGTAACTTCAACAGCTTAACATCAGGGTATTAGCCTGGCCAGCCGTTCTCCAGACATGAACTCGTGGAACATTCATGGGATGACCTCAAAAGGCTAATGCACGTCCATACAATCCACGATCTCAAGGACTCTTCTTGAAGAATGGGCTAACCTCCTGCAAAGGGACATTTCCAGACTGGTATAAAGTAAGCCGAGGCGTCTTCGAGATGTAATTAAGGCAAGAGGAGGAAATACGCGATATTGAAATGTTAATTAAAAATCTAAATTAAAACAAATTTTATCTGTCCGTCTTTTTTCACTTTCCTTAGAAATTTACCTTTTTTACTTTTTGGACAAAGACTCAATTATTAAATGTTAAAAAACGTGAAACTTTGATTAATATATGAAAATGTATACAAATCAAGATATAATACAAATGAGTGGAATCTTTGCCTGTCAGTGTACAAAATCTATTATTTTCTCTTAGATCCGTTGAGTCAACACTGCAGTTTGGTCGTTTCCGATGAATTTCAGACACGTTGCTGTATTCCAGTGTGTTTGTACAACTGTATTTGTCAAACTTCCAGCTAAATCGTACGCGTTTAATCCTAAATCCTACTGACTGATTGTTTTATATTTAATGTACACTCAGAATTAAAGATGGCACGAGGCTGAAATGCTCTAATTGACCAAACAGGTAACATCGGCAGATCGAATTGAAATCTTTGAAACGATCAAAAAGTGACTATTATAACGTTATTACATTGCATACGAGCCCTTTGTTTTTTCAGTTTAAACATTAATATAAACTTAAACATGATATAAAAAATTAAAATTAATTTGATTCGTAATAATTCCTGCTAAATATAAATGTATAAATAAAAAAACTGTAGGAGTTTCCATGACAGCAGTTGAGTAACTTCACTCCATCTGCAGTAATTGCGATTGGTCAAAGATACACTGAATTTTCTTGGTAAAGGATATCTCCGCACATAAAATACATCTTTCGTGATGTCTGAAAAGTACGAGTGTGTTTCTTTCTGAGTAATCGAAGAAAAAGCTGCCCCAAATTCCGCCAGGGTTCAATCACATACGATTTAAGCCTTCGGTTTGATGTTGGACGATGTAAAGGTTAAATTACTATTTTCCCAATGTGCCATTTTTATCACGCCATGTTCTCGTTTGGAATGGTGTTACCGTGGCGTCACATCCGCTAAATGACTCCTAATCTTCTAGTCAATTTACACACCTATTTGCAGAGTGAAAAAATTTAAATAAACTAATTAAGTATTTAATTACCCTAACATAAAAACTGATATGTACCTTCTAAGTTACATTCTCTTTTGTCGTTAAGAAACGGACATAAATAAAAACGGAATAGTAAAATTAAAGCAGCACTTATCGGCTTATCCGTAACAGGCGTGTAGTGTTTTGTAAGTTTAATGCATCTTTTCTCGAAATCTCTGTTATTTAAAGTAGTTCATCTAGGGTCTACAGGTTGTCTTAGATCTGAAATAGAGCACCTCTGACCTTTACCCTTTATTGGACATCTTCACGCGATGCCATGAATCAAAACTCGCCACATTGTCCTCACGATAATCAAAAGCAATCGTCTGGTCAGTTTTATTTCTCGATGGCTGATCTTTTTACATAGAAAACGCGATCACGCGATTGTAAGAGTTCTGAACTTTAGCTAGTTGATGGAGAATAGATAAATCTGTGAATTTGTTCCAACCAGCCGACAATAAGATTATTAGGGCTGAAATGAGCGCAGGAGTTGGAAGTCCTCAGGGGAGATTAAGTTAGATTATACAGGAGCCGGCGTCTTTACGATCTGTGTACCACGACCAGTATTGGTCTATGCTTCTCCATGTTTTATCTAGAGCTTGAGGCTGTTTACCAGACCCCAAAGCTTTTTCAAGGGCTCCCCTGTGTATCCTGCCAGGCCCTGGCTTTTCCTCTCCCAGGATTAGGTCTCAGCCTACCTAGGACTTCGCACCAATGGAGGACGTGTTCCGCTGTATCTTCTTCTTCTTGGCAATATCTGCACAGGTTTGTTCTTCTCGGCCACTCCGAGTCTGGTCTTCCGGAGTCTGCAGTGTCCGGTTAGCACTCCAACTGTCCTAGATTTAGTAGTTCTGCCGTTAGTTTCTGCGATGATCCTCTGCTAAACCTTTTCGAATTCCTCTATTCCCGGGCTACATCCCATTGAGCGGAGGACGTATTATTAATCTTTTGTCTAATGGACCGCGTTTTGGGCAGTTTGGTAAGCCACGAAATGCTTCAAGCCAAGAGGTGTCCTCATTAACTTCGCTTGGCACATTTATCGGCCTATTCGTTGCCCCTCTGCCCGTGCAGCCAGAAAAGGCTAATTTTTTTATTTTCCTCAATGTCTGACAGGGCTCTAGCGCAGACCCAAACGACTCTGGACTTTACCGCCGATGCGGCAATTGCCTTCAATGCCGCTGTCTGTCCGAGTAGATGGCTATTCTTCTATTAGCAATCTCCAGCCTTTTTATCTCCTTAATCTCTATCTAGCCACAGTTTCCGCCTTAAAGACAGAGCATATTGTCCAAGACTGATATGAATTCTAGTCCTTGCTTTATTTCCATAAATGCCAGCTCCTGACCCATATTCGGTATAAACCAGATATGGTCGGCATTAACAGGGATCCCTTTTTCCCAGTCTCCTCTACACAGTTTTTGATTAGACTTTTTTTTTAATCAAAACTGAATTTAGGGGTCATGGCATCAGTAGGCATCCCCGAAGTTCTCTCGAACTGAAGCTCCACTCGAAGCCTAGTTATGTGAGTAGGTTATTGGAGCCTGTCTTTGCATTAGCTTATGAATTGTGACTCTAACCTCTCCCTGGATAAAGATATGTATTGGTGGTACACTAAGGACATCCAGGGCAACCGGGGGTTCTCATTGCCTCAGTGCCCAGGCGTGTAGATGCCCAAACACGGCAGATCTGAACTGCCCTTAGCTGTAATGACTTAGTCCACCACACCACTAATCCGTAGGCTATCATGAGTCTAACAACCGCAGTGTATAGCCATAGGGGCGTCTTTGGAATAAGTCCACAGCTTTTCCTGGAACGTCAGTAAGCCAGTACATAATCTATAATAAGGGATAAGGGTACCATTTTGCCCCCCAGGTTACCACTTGAGAGTGTATTATGCTTTCGTCAGTGTATTTATGAAACAAGTCCATAGATCTGGCTTTTTTTCAATTGGATTTACATAATCTGCAAAAGGTGAGGATGGCATAGTAAGTAGACTTTTGACATTTTCAGAACTTTAACCTTAAGCCTTACAAGTTTTTTCTTCGAGACAAATAAACAAGGAAGACAAAAATTGCTATAATCGTGTGT